TAATAAGCATGCACCTATTAAGAAAATGACTGTAAAAACGGTTAAATCCCCATGGATTGATGAGGAATTTAAAAAATGGTATGGTTGAGAGGGATGAGGCAAAGGAGATTGCAAATAGGTCTGGCTGTACAACAGATTGGCAAACGTTCTGCAAATTGAGAAAACAAGTGACTAAACTGAATAAAAAGAAGAAGAAACTACACTATGAAACAAAGATAAATGACATAAAGAATGATGGTAAAAAACTTTGGAGCACCTTAAATGAAATTTTGGGCAAAAAGGCAAACTCCGCTCCATCATTCATTGAATCAGATTGCTCATTCATCACAAAACCTACTGATATTGCCTACTACTTTAATTATTTTTTAATTGGCAAGATTAGCAAATGTAGTCATGACATGCCAGCAACAAACGCTGACACTACACATCCAAGTATATCTGACCAAATTATGAAAGACAAGCATTGCAATTTTGAATTCCGTGAAGTAAGTGTGGAAGAGGTGAAAAAAATATTATTGTTGATGAACCATGACAAGCCACCGGGGTCTGACAACTTGGATGGAAAATTACTAAGGAGAATGGCGGACGATATTGCCACTCCTATTTGCCATATCTTCAATTTAAGCCTACTAGAAAGTGTGTGCCCTCAGGCCTGGAGAGAAGCAAAAGTCATTCCCCTACCTAAGAATAGTGAAGCCCCCTTAACTGGCTCAAATAGCCGACCAATCAGCCTGTTACCAACCCTTAGTAAACTTTTGGGAAAAATGGTGCTTGACCAGATAAAATGCTATTTTACAGTAAACAAATTGACAACAGACTTTCAGCACGCTTATAGGGAAGGACATTCAACAAGCATGGCACTTACACAAATGACTGATGATTGGCTGAGGGAAATTGATGATAAAAATATTTTTGGGGCTGTTTTGTTAGACTTCAGTGCGGCTTTTGAAATTATCGATCATAGTCTGTTGCTGGGAAAACTTGTGTTATGGCTTTACACTCCCTGCTATATTGTGGATAAAGAGTTACCTGTCTAACAGAACACAGAGGGTGTCCTTTAATGGAAGCCTCTCCAACAAAATCAGGAATTAAATCTTTACTAACGACATGCCACTGGCTTTGAGTAAAGCCAGTATGTCTATGTATGCGGATGACTCAACACTACACGTCAGCTACCACAGCGACTGATTTGACAGTAACACTTATCAAAGAGCTGCAGTTAGTTTCAGAATGGGTGGCAAGGAATAAGTTAGTCCTACATATTTCAAAAACTAAAAGCATTGTATTTAGGACAAATCAATTACAAAACCCTAAACCTCAACTAAATCTTGTAATGAATAATGTGGAAATTGAGCAAATTGAGGAGACTAAACTGTCATGGTCAAAACATATTGATACAACAGTAGCTAGCATAGGGAGAAGTCTATAATAAAGCGCTGCCCTGCATTCTTAACAGCACTATCAACAAAGCAGGTCCTACAGGCCCTAGTTTTGTCGCACCTGGTCTACTGTTCAGTCGTGTGGTCAGGTGCTGAAGGCACTGTATCTCTACATACATACAGTCGTGGTCAAAAGTTTTGAGAATGACACAAATACTAATTTTCACAAAGTCTGCTGCCTCAGTTTTGATGATGGCAATTTGCATATACTCCAGAATGTCATGAAGAGTGATCAGATGAATTCCAATTAATTGCAAAGTCCCTCTTTGCCATGAAAATGAACTTAATCCCCCAAAAAACATTTCCACTGCATTTCAGCCCTGCCACAAAAGGACCAGCTGTCATCATGTTAGTGATTCTTTCATTAACACAGGTGAGTGTGTTGATGAGGACAAGGCTGGAGATCACTCTGTCATGCTGATTTGAGTTAGAATAACAGACTGGAAGCTTTAAAAGGAGGGTGGTGCTTGAAATCATTGTTCTTCCTCTGTTAACCATGGTTACCTGCAAGGAAACACGTGCCGTCATCATTGCTTTGCACAAAAAGGGCTTCACAGGCAAGGATATTGCTGCTAGTAAGATTGCACCTAAATCAACCATTTATCGGATCATCAAGAACTTCAAGGAGAGAGGTTCAATTGTTGTGAAGAAGGCATCAGGGCGCACAAGAAAGTCCAGCAAGCGGCCAGGACCGTCTCCTAAAGTTGATTCAGCTGCGGGATCGGGGCACCACCAGTGCAGAGCTTGCTCAGGAATGGCATCAGGCAGGTGTGAATGCATCTGCACGCACAGTGAGGTGAAGACTTTTGGAAGATGGCCTGGTGTCAAGAAGGGCAGCGAGGAAGCCACTTCTCTCCAGGAAAAACTTCAGGGACAGACTGATATTGTGCAAAAGGTACAGGGATTGGACTGCTGAGGACTGGGGTAAAGTAATTTTCTCTGAATCCCCTTTCTGATTGTTTGGGGCATCCGGAAAACACCTTGTTTTACCATCAGTCCTGTGTCATGCCAACAGTAAAGCATCCTGAGACCATTCATGTGTGGGGTTGCTTCTCAGCCAAGGGAGTGGGCTCACTCACAATTTTGCCTAAGAACACAGCCATGAATAAAGAATGCTACCAACACATCCTCCGAGAGCAACTTCTCCCAACCATCCAAGAACAGTTTGGTGACGACCAATGCCTTTTCCAGCATGATGGAGCACCTTGCCATAAGGCAAAAGTGATAACTAAGTGGCTCGGGGAACAAAACATTGACATTTTGGGTCCATGGCCAGGAAACTCCCCAGACCTTAATCCCATTGAGAACTTGTTGTCGATCCTCAAGAGGCGGGTGGACAAACAAACAACCCACAAATTCTGACAAACTCCAAGCATTGATTATGCAAGAATGGGCTGCCATCAGTCAGGATGTGGCCCAGAAGTGAATTGACAGCATGCCAGGGCGGATTGCAGAGGTCTTGAAAAAAGGGTCAACACTGCAAATATTGACACTTTGCATAAACTTAATGTAATTGTCAATAAAAGCCTTTGACACGTATGGAATGCTTGTAATTATACTTCAGTATACCATAGTAACATCTGACAAAAATATCTCATAACACTGAAGCAGCGAACTTTGTGAAGACCAATACTTGTCATTCTCAACTTTTGACCACGACTATACATACATACAGTGGGGAGAACAAGTATTTGATACACTGCCGATATTGCAGGTTTTCCTACTTACAAAGCATGTAGAGGTCTGTAATTTTTATCATAGGTACACTTCAACTGTGAGAGACGGAATCTAAAACAAAAATCCAGAAAATCACATTGTATGATTTTTAAGTAATTCATTTGCATTTTATTGCATGACATAGGTATTTGATCACCTACCAACCAGTAAGAATTCCGGCTCTCACAGACCTGTTAGTTTTTCTTTAAGAAGCCCTCTTGTTCTCCACTCATTACCTGTATTAACTGCACCTGTTTGAAAGATACCTGTCCACACACTCAATCAAACAGACTCCAACCTCTCCACAATGGCCAAGACCAGAGAGCTGTGTAAGGACATCGGGGATAAAATTGTAGACCTGCACAAGGCTGGGATGGGCTACAGGACAATAGGCAAGCAGCTTGGTGAGAAGGCAACAATTGTTGGCGCAATTATTAGAAAATTGAAGAAGTTCAAGATGACGGTCAATCACCCTCGGTCTGGGGCTCCATGCAAGATCTCACCTCGTGGGGCATCAATGATCATGAGGAAGGTGAGTGATCAGCCCAGAACTACATGGCAGGACCTGGTCAATGACCTGAAGAGAGCTGGGATCACAGTCTCAAAGAAAACCATTAGTAACACACTACGCCGTCATGGATTAAAATCCTGCAGCACACGCAAGGTCCCCCTGCTCAAGCCAGCGCATGTCAAGGCCCATCTGAAGTTTGCCAATGACCATCTGGATGATCCAGAGGAGGAATGGGAGAAGGTCATGTGGTCTGATGAGACAAAAATAGAGCTTTTTGGTCTAAACTCCACTCGCCGTGTTTGGAGGAAGAAGGATGAGTACAACCCCAAAAACACCATCCCAACCGTGAAGCATGGAGGTGTAAACATCATTCTTTGGGGATGCTTTTCTGCAAAGGGGACAGAACGACTGCACCATATTGAGGGGAGGATGGATGGGGCCATGTATCGCGAGATCTTGGCCAACAACCTCCTTCCCTCAGTAAGAGCATTGAAGATGGGTTGTGGCTGGGTCTTCCAGCATGACAACGACCCGAAACACACAGCCAGGGCAACTAAGGGGTGGCTCCGTAAGAAGCATCTCAAGGTCCTGGAGTGGCATAGCCAGTCTCCAGACCTGAATCCAATAGAAAATCTTTGGAGGGAGCTGAAAGTCCGTATTGCCCAGCGACAGCCCCGAAACCTGAAGGATCTGGAGAAGGTCTGTATGGAGGAGTGGGACAAAATCCCTGCTGCAGTGTGTGCAAACCTGGTCAAGACCTACAGGAAACGTATGATCTCTGTAATTGCAAACAAAGGTTTCTGTACCAAATATTAAGTTCTGCTTTTCTGATGTATCAAATACTTATGTCATGCAATAAAATGCAAATGAATTACTTAAAAATCATACAATGTGATTTTCTGGATTTTTGTTTTAGATTCCGTCTCTCACAGTTGAAGTGTACCTATGATAAAAATGACAGACCTCTACATTCTTTGTAAGTAGGACAACCTGCAAAATCGGCAGTGTATCAAATACTTGTTCTCCCCACTGTACGTACATACATACATACATACATACATACATCAAGCTGCCTCACGCTACAGAAACAAGGGATAGGCTCCTGCCCTATGGTCCGTTCTGGCTCAGACAACTTAATTACTTATACATCTCTCTCTACATATGGCTGTGTATTTTCCCCTTAGTCTCTCCTGCTAGCTAATGCTCCCTGTAGGGTCCCCATGTTTATCAGTCTCCCTATAGCACATGTTTATGTGCTATAATTCAGTCAATATTACATTTTACTGTATTTTTGACCTTTTAACAATTGTCTACTGTTGCTATTTTCCCTTTAGCCAACTCTGGCTCCCTGCAGGGTCCCCACACCCCCCAGTCCACAGGTAGCAGCTCCATGGCTGAGATGTCAGAGGGCATGAAGCGCCCCACTCCCGCCACCACACCCCACGGACACATGACCGCCCAGCCAGGCAATAGGTAGGTCACAGGCCAGGGGCCACTCATAGCCCGATAGTGTGGGGTGTACGTGTGTGTACACGTGTCTGTCTGTCGGTGTGTCTAAATCTGACTGTATCCATGCACGGATACCCCTCCTCAACCCTTCGTATCATCCTTTCTTGTCCTCCTCACCCCTCCTGTATGTGTCTCAGGAACAGTGTTGGTATCCGTGTCCAGGATCCCTTCTCAGAGGTCAGTGACCCTGCCTTCCACAAGCGAGGGCCCATGCCCTCTGGCGCCCCCTACCAGCAGGCGGGCGGTAGTGCAGACCCCTCCATGAGAATGCAGTACGACACCAACAAGGACCCCTATGCAGGGCCCCGGAAGGGTGAGTGGACCAGACGCTCCTTAACCACATGGCATAACAAAGTGAATTCACATAACACAGTACACGCCTACTGGTATTGTCCGCATTGGTTGTCTGCGCTGTGTTCTTTTTGGGGGATTGTTTGTGTATTAGTATTGTACTGTTAGACATTTACTGCACTGCTGGAGTTAGAAATAGAAGCATTTCGCTGCACCTGCTTTAGCATCTGCTAATCTTTGTATGCGACAAATAAACGTACATTTTGATACTAGATGAACAATGTGATGTTAGTAAAAGTCAAGTAATACACCTGTTGTCTGAACTGGATATGGCTGGCACTTCTTCAATTCTCCATCTAGGTTAAAATTGCTTTTCATCCTTGTTTTTGTTTAGGCCATCAGACCTGAATCTCTCTCTCTGCTGTGATTGTTTCCTTAGACTATGTTGCCCCCCAGTGTTCAAATCATGTACTACACATCCTTTCCTTTAATAACACCTAACATGAATGCTGATGGTATCAGAATAGCCTGTATTCCCCAATTACACTTACCAAGAATTTGACCTGGTGAAAATGGTGCTGACAACATTAAGCAGAGTATACAGACAGAATATAGACAAAATAATTTACACTTTATCGACTTACCGTATATACAATATCTATTCTCCCTCCACAGGGCCAGGGGGCAGTGAGCCCTATGGACCAGGTCAGATGCCCAGCGGTGCCATGCAGGACATGTACCTCCGTGGTCCTCCCTCAGGGCCAGGTCAGATGCCCAGCAGTACCATGCAGGACATGTACCTCCGTGGTCCTCCTTCAGGAGCCATGCCAGGGATGGGTATGGGCCCCGGCCCGCGGTCACAGTACCCATACGGGCCTAGCTACGACAGGAGGTGGGTATCTTAATAACCAGATATTCTATAGTAGATACATTACTGAGTGCCAGCAGCATACCACCCTGCATCCCACTGCTGGCTTGCCTCTGAAGCTAAGCGGGGTTGGTTAATGGGAGACCAGAGGCTGCTGGAGGACCAGTAGTAGGCACGGGGCAGTGATCGGGGACATTGCCCTGGGTAAGGTGCGGTCTTTCGGATGGGATGTTAAACAGGTGTCCTCTCTGTGGTCACTAAAGATCCCATGGCTCTTATGGTAAGAGTAGGGCTGTTAACCCCGGTGCCCTGGTTAAATTCCCAATCTTGCCCTCTTACCATTATGGCCACCTAATCATCCCCAGCTTCCAATTGGCTCATTCATCCCCTCTCCTCTCCCCTGTAATTATTCCCCAGGTCATTGCTGTAAATGAGAATGTGTTCTCAGTCAACTAACCTGGTAAAATAAGGGTAACATAAAAAATATATATCTGCAGGAAAAAGGGTGTTTCATGCTTAAACAACTGGAGTAGAGGTGCTACCTTAAATAATCCAATGCTGGATCAGACGTTGAGGCAAAATATATGATTCATTGTAAATCCCAAGTCAAAAACAATGCATGATGTTTCAGTCTGAGACATCTATCAGACAGTTATATAAATGCCAGGAATAAGCTGCCCATAGTTGTCCTCCTACCCTCCAGACCAGACCATGTGATGGGTTTGGAGGGGGGTGTGGCTCCCCCTGGGAGTCAGAACAACATGGGACCTTCCAGCGGTGACCCCAACTTGTACTCTGCCAACAGATACCCCCATCAGCGGTAAGACGTGTCTGTCTGAATGATGCATAAAAACTGTTGGCATTAAGTGAGTTTATTATTTATAAAGCTACCTATATATGTATTGTTTATTTGTGTTCTGACTGAGTGTGATCCTCCTCCACTATAGACCACATGGACATGAAGGTTATGGGCAGCAGCAGTACCCTCACGGCCCCCTGCCTTATGGCTCTCACCAGCCTGGGATGTACCCGCAACAGGTCAGACCCAGCCTCAAGCCTCCCGCCCCTAGAGGGCACTGTGCTACAGCTACTAAAACTTGAACAGATGGAAAACAGGCTAACTTGGCCATTTCAATGCAAATTAAAGTCTAAACTGGGTTTGCGATAGCGGTCTACCAGTAAGTAATCATCATTGGCTTCTACTCCACCTTGTCCAACTCCAACATCATGGCTTGTTGAGAGAGTGGGGGGGGGGGGGGGGGGGGGGGGGGGGGGGGGGGGGGTTGAGAGAGAGCGAGAGAGAGAGAGTGCAAGGTTTAGAGAGAGACCAGCAAACTATAAATGGTCATCTTTGCAATTTACTGACTACAGTATCTAACGTATAAAGTTCTCTGTTCCCTCTCAGGGCTGTAAGAGGCCAGTGGGACAGGAGGGGATGTATGGTCCCCCTGCTAAGCGCCATGAGGGTGAAGCCTACGGCATGCAGCAGTACGGAGGGCAGCAGCCAGACATGCACCGCCAGTACGGAAGGGGCTACATGGGGCCGGAGCACAGGCCCATGCAGGGCCAGTACCCTTACCCCTACAGCCGAGACCGCATGGGAGCCATCCAGGGGCCCCCACAACACGGCATGATGAGCGGAGGCCCCCCCTTACCCTCTGGAGCCTCTGCAGAGGGCCCCCAGGCCAACATGTGGCACCCCAGGACAGACATGGCCTACCCCGGGCCCTACCCTGGCCAACAGGGCCAGGGGCCACCTTACCCTGTTATGAGCCGGGTTCCGGGGGATGACCCAGAGGGAAGGGGCCTCCAGGATGGCCAGTGGCCGCCCGGACACCCGGGCCAGCGCCAGCCCCCGTACCCACCCCCCTCTTCCTCCTCCATGCCCCCCATGGCTTCCCGACATCCCTCCTCCTCCTACCAGTCTAACCCTGCCATGGCCAACCACATCGCTAGAGCCCACAGCCCCTCGCCCTTCCCCCGGCCCATGGGGGGACCCGGACCCCTTTCCCCCAACAACGGGGGCCACTACATGGCCTCTCTGAAGAAGGCAGGGATGCCCGGGTCCATGCCAGGCTCACACAATGGGGGGATGTCAGGGCAGGGCATTCTACCTCTCCACAGAGATATCAGCTTCCCCCTAGGGTCTGTGGAGGCCACCCTGCCCAAACTCAAAGCCCGACACAGACTTACTTCCAAGGAGACCGGTAGGAGAATTAACCTGTTATTATAGAGCAGTGTTTCCCAACCCGAGTCCTCCAGTACCCCCAACAGTACACTGTTTAGTTGTAGCCCTGGACAAACACACCTCATTCAACTCATTAAGGGCTTGATGATTAGTTGACAAGTTGAATCAGGTGTGCTTGTCCAGGGTTACAATACAAATGTGTACTTTTGGGGATACTGGAGGACCAGGGTTGGGAAACACTGTTATAGAGCATTAGCCAGGCAATTCATAATGGGTGCATCTGAAATGGCATCCGATTCCCTTTATGGGCCCTGGTCAAAAGTTGTGCACTAGATAGGGAATAGGGTGCCGTTTTCGATGCAACCCTCGTCTCCTCTGACCTCGGAACTGTAACCTCTGACCCCCAGGAACCCCAGAGGCATGGCGCGTGATGATGTCTCTGAAGTCGGGTCTGCTGGCTGAGAGCACGTGGGCGCTGGACACCATCAACATCCTGCTGTATGACGACAGCACTGTGTCCTCCTTCACCCTGTCACAGGTGAGACGGTGCTGCACAAACCATATCCATAGACATGTCCAATGATATCCAGTATCCATGAGACTAGACTAAAGCAATGATGTAAACCTCCAATATCTATACCATACCATACCATACTAAACCATACCATACCATACCATACTAAACCATACCATACTAAACCATACCATACTAAACCATACCATACCATACCTAACCATACCATACTAAACCATACTAAACCATACCATACCATACTAAACCATACCATACCAAACTAAACCATACCATACCATACTAAACCATACCATACTAAACCATACCATACCATACCATACCATACTAAACCATACCATACTAAACCATACCATACTAAACCATACCATACCATACTAAACCATACCATACTAAACCATACCATACTAAACCATACCAGACTAAACCATACCATACCATACTAAACCATACCATACCATACTAAACCCATACCATACCAAACGATGTCAAATGCATGGCTTCATTCTAAGTGGTTATTGGACCATGACTGGATTCAAGGATAAACACCCCTAACCAAACCATTGTCTAATAGTCTTTCACACAATCATTTCAGAGAGCTACCTAACTTATGATATGCTATGTTTCCCCAGCTGCCTGGTTTCCTGGAGCTGATAGTGGAGTACTTCCGCCGGTACCTGATCGAGATCTTTGGGATCCTGGATGAGTACGAGGTGGGCACCGAGGGTCAGAAGATGCTGCTCGGACCAATCACAGACCAGGAAGAGGAGCTTACCGTTCCAGAGCTTGGCAGCCAATTAGACGAAGAGCAGAGGGAAAGTAGGCCAGAAGAGACGGGACCAGAGAAGACCACAGCCAACGGCAGCACAGAGGAGGCAGTCCCAGAGGAGGAGAAGGAGGAGCCTGTGGAGGTGACAGTGAAAGAGAAGGTAGAGGGGAAGGAAAAGGAGGAGGTGGCAGCCACCGAGCAGTCCCAGCCCCCAGAGCCCAGGCTCAAACAGGCCAGTAAGTATGACAAGCTGCCTGTGAAGGTGGAGGAGGACCAAGTGGAGGAGGACCAGGGGCTCAGTCTGCCCAGGGGGTTCACCTCTGGCCTGCTGCACTGGAAGGCTGGAGGAGGGGACTCCACGGCCCACATCCAGACACACTTCGAGAGACGTGGCGAGGAGACCAACAGCAAGCCTACAGAGAGGAAACATAAGGGGGAAGAGAGGGAGGATAGTGTAGGGGAGCTGGAGCAGAAGACAGAAACGACAGAGGAGGAGAGGAAGGCTGTTGTAGAGAAGAGCATGACTGAGACAGTCACTATGGACGATATGAGTGTCCGGCCAGGCTCTCTGTCAGAGAGGAACGGTCTTCCTGGGACGCAGACCCAGAGCCCCATCTTCACCCTGCTGGAGGACGAGCCTCGCTGCTGGGACGAGGCGCCCCTCTCCACGGCTGAACCCTGGCAGGACGCCCTGGCCCGCCGCTGCGTTTGCGTGTCCAACATCGTCCGCGGCCTCTCCTTCATCCCGGGGAATGACAACGACATGTCCGGCCACCCGGGCCTGGTGCTGATCCTGGGGCGGCTGGTCCTGCTACACCACCTGCACCCCCAGAGGATGAGGACGCCTCCCATCTACCAGAGAGAGGAGGAGCAGGGCCGGGCCTGCAGTAAAGACGAATGGTGGTGGGACTGTCTGTCAGCGCTCAGGGAGAACACTCTGGTCACCCTGGCTAACATCTCAGGTCAACTAGACCTGTCCCTCTACCCAGAGAGCATCTGTCTGCCCATCCTGGACGGCCTGCTCCACTGGATGGTGTGCCCCTCTGCCGAGGCCCAGGACCCCTTCACCACGGCGGGCTGCTCCTCCTCCCTCACCCCCCAGAGACTAGTGCTGGAGTGCCTGTGCAAACTGAGCATCCAGGACAACAACGTGGACCTCCTGCTGGCCACGCCACCCTTCAGCCGCCAGGAGAAGCTCTACGCCACCCTGGTGCGCCATGTGGGCGAGCGGAAGTCCCAGGTGTGCCGTGAGATGGCGGTGGCTGTGCTTTCTAACCTGGCGCAGGGGGACCCGACCGCGGCACGCGCCATCGCCCTGCAGAAGGGCAGCGTGGGGATACTCATCGGCTTCCTGGAGGACTGCGTGGCCATGTCCCAGCACCAGCAGGGACCCCCCAGCCTGCTACACCCAGCCCCACACCCCCAACCCCCCAGCCTGCTACACCCAGCCCAACACCCCGTACCCCCCAGCGTTAACATGATGTGCAGGGCCGCCAAGGCTCTGCTGGCCATGGCCAAGGAGAACCGGACAGAGTTGGTTCTCTACGAGAGCAGGCTACTGGACATCTCCCTGTCCTCTGTGCTGAGCTCAGCTGTGGCGGCCATCATGTGTGAAGTACTGTTTAAGATTGGACGCTCCTCGTGACCGCCACAGGCAAAGACACAGAGGGAGGGGGGCTTGGGAGAGAGGAGGGAAGTGCTTGGTCTGACAACGAGGCTGCAGTGAACACCAACACATGGGTGTGGGTGGTATTATATTTTTATTTAAATAAAATGACACTTTTTTTTTTTAACACACATATATATATATACATACAGTGGGGGAAAAAAGTATTTAGTCAGCCACCAATTGTGCAAGTTCTCCCACTTAAAAAGATGAGAGGCCTGTAATTTTCATCATAGGTACACGTCAACTATGACAGACAAATTGAGGAAAAAAAATCCAGAAAATCACATTGTAGGATTTTAATGAATTTATTTGCAAATTATGGTGGAAAATAAGTATTTGGTCACCTACAAACAAGCACGATTTCTGGCTCTCACAGACCTGTAACTTCTTCTTTAAGAGGCTCCTCTGTCCTCCGCTCGTTACCTGTATTAATGGCACCTGTTTGAACTTGTTATCAGTATAAAAGACACCTGTCCACAACCTCAAACAGTCACACTCCAAACTCCACTATGGCCAAGACCAAAGAGCTGTCAAAGGACACCAGAAACAAAATTGTAGACCTGCACCAGGCTGGGAAGACTGAATCTGCAATAGGTAAGCAGCTTGGTTTGAAGAAATCAACTGTGGGAGCAATTATTAGGAAATGGAAGACATACAAGAGCACTGATAATCTCCCTCGATCTGGGGCTCCACGCAAGATCTCACCCCGTGGGGTCAAAATGATCACAAGAACGGTGAGCAAAAATCCCAGAACCACACGGGGGGACCTAGTGAATGACCTGCAGAGAGCTGGGACCAAAGTAACAAAGCCTACCATCAGTAACACACTACGCCGCCAGGGACTCAAATCCTGCAGTGCCAGACGTGTCCCCCTGCTTAAGCCAGTACATGTCCAGGCCCGTCTGAAGTTTGCTAGAGTGCATTTGGATGATCCAGAAGAGGATTGGGAGAATGTCATATGGTCAGATGAAATCAAAATAGAACTTTTTGGTAAAAACTCAACTCGTCGTGTTTGGAGGACAAAGAATGCTGAGTTGCATCCAAAGATCACCATACCTACTGTGAAGCATGGGGGTGGAAACATCATGCTTTGGGGCTGTTTTTCTGCAAAGGGGCCAGGACGACTGATCCGTGTAAAGGAAAGAATGAATGGGGCCATGTATCGTGAGATTTTGAGTGAAAACCTCCTTCCATCAGCAAGGGCATTGAAGATGAAACGTGGCTGGGTCTTTCAGCATGACAATGATCCCAAACACACCGCCCGGGCAACGAAGGAGTGGCTTCGTAAGAAGCATTTCAAGGTCCTGGAGTGGCCTAGCCAGTCTCCAGATCACAACCCCATAGAAAATATTTGGAGGGAGTTGAAAGTCCGTGTTGCCCAGCGACAGCCCCAAAACATCACTGCTCTAGAGGATATCTGCATGGAGGAATGGGCCAAAATACCAGCAACAGTGTGTGAAAACCTTGCGAAGACTTACAGAAATGTTTGACCTGTGTCATTGCCAACAAAGGGTATATAAGAAAGTATTGAGAAACTTTTGTTATTGACCAAATACTTATTTTCCACCATAATTTGCAAATAAATTCATTAAAAATCCTACAATGTGATTTTCTGGAATTTTTTCTTTCTAATTTTGTCTGTCATAGTTGACCTATGATGAAAATTATAGGTCAACACTCTTTTTAAGTGGGAGAACTTGCACAATTGGTGGCTGACTAAATACTTTTTTCCCCCACTGTATAGCTCCTCTGCCCCATTCACAACCTTCATTTGGAATTTTTTAATAATTGTTATAAAAATATTTAATACTTGTTTTTTTATACATTTTTATTTGTCGGTTCATTTTTGTTTTAACCAAAGTTGGCACCCGATGAAAGAGAACCTACTTTAGTTTTGGGGTCTCATGTGCTTACATTTATTTTATGTGGCCGTTTGTCTGGGATCTTTTTGTTGGTTGTTTTTTGCAGGGGGAAGCAGACTTATTTAAATTGTGAATCATGTTGTAGATAGATCTCTTTATCGTGTATTAAGGTAAAGAAAAAACCACTGACTTTACTCTGAATATACAACAGTACATCATGTATCCTGTTCTGGGGGGAAAAAAATACCTATCGTGCAATAGGATTTAGTTGGCTTGTTGGGGGGGGTTAACAAATGTGAATGACTTTTGACCACAGGCAACTGACCACAAGTATTGCATCATAATAATATTACCATACCAGTATAACAGGGAGACATAAGTCACCCTGTTCAACTGACTTACTGGTAACCTTTGCAGACAGGTAAACTCACACCAACAAACAGTACTTCCATCAGTCTTTTCTATCTTATAGAAGTTGTACATTGACAGCCCTATTTGGTTTCTTTGCCAAGAGATGTGGTATAGATAAGTGATGGTAGTTGATAATTATAATGACGTTATAATTATGACTGCTCATTTGAATAATGAATATTTAGTTACTCGCTTCAAATGAGGTTAGTCATTTTATGTATTTATGTTCTGACTGGGACAGGTCTGTAAGGACATATAGGGATAAGACCGCTCTAGTTTTGGTTATTAAAAGACAAACCTATTTAGATTGTACAGTCAGCAAGCAAACAGACCATGATGGGCAGAACTGTATATATAACATGACAGTTATAACAAGCGTTTTTTAAACTCTACATATATAGTACTTCTCCCCCTTTTCATTTGATGAACTTTACATTGTTTATTCAGTATAAAATCTTTATACTATGTTCCACATGTTAAGAATAAATGTACATGAAATCTGGTTGAGCAACGAAGGGTGTTTTCGATTATTCTGTACACACATTGTGAACAGGCGGACCGTGGCAGAATATGGCCAAAGTGTCACATAAAACACACATTTTTCGTATGCCTGTGGTGTTATGCACGCATGACTAAAAGTAAGTTTTAGATATGCTAAATGGCATGCGTTATGTTACATAACTGCAACCAATCAGACTGAAGACGAGTACAGTAGTAGTTTAGCACAGAGAAGGAATTATATGCACGACAGAAATAACAAAACTCAATGAAGTCCTCAGAAGATTCTCTTGCATACAGAAGTGTCAGACTTAACTGACAGTGCTCCGTGTTACAGCTGTGGCGTCACGCTCTTTCAACTTGATTATGTGGGCTAAATGTGTACGAAAACATCAGGGGCAGCAGTCACAAGCATGTTAGAGGGTGACGCGCACACAAGTATTTTTACACACTCCTCGTTATATGGCTAGCCGGGCCCAGTTTAAGATAGTTCAGGTCTGTTCTCATTTTTATACTAGTCCTTTATGGGAATAGCTGACGGCAAACACTTAGGCGTTACATTGAATGATGGTTCAATCTGTTTAAAAGGAACCAGGCATGGCGCCTCACGTTCAGCTGCACAGCTTTCACCGTCTTCGCTCTGGATAAGAGCGTCTGCTAAATGATGTAAATGTCTTCAGAACTGCAAACACATTTTGCGTTTTACTGTTTCGCAGAACAAATAGTGTAAAATACATTTTGATTGACAAAGAAATCCAAACATACAGATTTAAAACAATCCATCTTGTGGCCTTTATGACAAAGTACAGTGAGTATTCCAGATCTGTTCAAGAGGGTCGCTGCCTTGGACTACTGTACTAGCCTTAGTGCCGGTCTTATGTAAACTCCTTGATACTCATCGTCATGCCAAAAATGTGGCTTGACAACGAGCAATGGAGCTGGCAAGAGCACAAACAAGACTGGTGTTTAGGCTAACTGTACAGTACAAGACAGTCCTACATAGCAAGCCTCTGATCAGAAATTAAGATTATCCAAGGGAGTTTAAATTAACCATGATGTCTTCAGGCAGGGGATGCTCTCTTCATAGGCTTCAGATGAGCATCAGTGAAGAGTGGCTGGACCACTAACTAACCGCATTCTGCACCTGTGGGTACAGACAGTGGACGCCAAGTTCCTTTCCTTCTCAGCACAGTGACCAACTGACTGCCCATCCCACAGTAATTGTTAAGTCATGCAGTGACTTATTAAGGCTGCTCTCAGCCAGGGTGAGAATGTAGTCTAGACCTGCAGTCCTCTTCAGTCATCTTTAGACTTGAAGATGGTGTCCCATTCCTCTGATTTGGCTGGTCCTTCCTCATTTTTGGGAATAGCCGGGAAAACTGACTGCATCGTCTGCCTGAACTCTGTTAGCTGCAAAGATGGAGAAATAGAGGCTTCTTAAGCAGCACCATTTGTTGTACATTTACTGAGTGTTAGGTAATAGGGATTATGTTGGTCTATGTTTTCTGATGGCACGATGAGGGCAAGACAATGAGATGGGTTGAGTTCATTAATATGTACACTATGGACCCCCATGGCTTTCCAGACTGCGAAGCTGAGCAGGCCCACTCCACACCAGGCATAGAGAGAGCCCCAACCCAGGGCCCGGAGAGCCAGGGTCGCCCCCGTCTCCGGTACTGCAGCGGTGGCCATCGTTCCCTTGAGAACACACACACACTTGAGGTCACATTGAGGTACACAAGAGTTGCTCATGGTTCCCAACTTATAGGCTAAACTCAAATCCACTCACTAGCGAAATCGGTTTTCATCTCGTGCAGTGGTGCTAGTGCAGTGGCCATCGTTCCCTGGATAACATGCTGGACGTGACATTGAGGTACTTTACACATGGGCCCAAACTGAGTCAAACTGGTTAGCAGAAAACATTAAAAGAAGTGGAAGCTGTTAGCTACCCTGCAAACTGTTAGCTACCCTGCAAACTGTAGTCCATCTAACTGACTAACTCTAAACCTGTCCTGGCACAGCTCTACACACACCTTTTTTTTTTACAAGGAGCATGTGTGCGCCTAAGTTGAAAAATGTAGGTGCACACAAAGACATTTTGGAGCACAATGAAAAATATTTGAGGTAATAAAGCTAGAATTTTACATTTTTCTAGGCGCAATGGTGCTCCCTAAATAAAATTCCAGGTCGTACAGCTAAATATTTAGGCGCATATGCGAGTAAAATGGTTACACTGTTGAGCCCTGCCTCCCTGGAGGAGCTGCATTTCAAGGAAGTGTCTAAAAGGGTACCCCATTCCCTATATAGTGCATGCAAAGACCAGGGCTCTGGTCAGAAGTAGTGCACTGTAAGGAAAAATGTGCCATTTGGGATGCACCCCAAGACTGAACAAGCTGTGTAGTAAACAGATGTAATCGCTAACAATATAACCTCTCAATGTATTTATTGTCCATGTATTTAAGTGGCCTGCTCATTAGATTAGCTATTATTAGTTTGGCGAGACTCAGCAGCTCTTCCTGGAGGGGTAAAAATCTGAGAGGAAGCGATGTGGTTTGGTGTGCATCAACATAAAAACTAAGCCAACTGCCTATCCCTAGTGTTGCATTATGTTAACAGTCTACTCTTAGGTCCCCTGTAGCTCAGTTGGTAGAGCATGGCGCTTGCAATGCCAGGGTTGTGGGTTCGTTTCCCACGGGGGGCCAGTATGAAAAATGTATGCACTAACTATAAGTAGCTCCGGATAAGAGCGTCTGCAAAATTTTTTACATTTTTAGTCATTTAGCTGACGCTCTTATCCAGAGCGACTTACAGTTAGTGAGTGCATACATTTTTTTTTTTTATATTTTCATACTGGCCCCCCGTGGGAATCGAACCCACAACCCTGGCGTTGCAAACGCCATGCTCTACCAACTGAGCTACATCCCTCCCGGCCATTCCCTCCCCTACCCTGGACGACGCTGGGCCAATTGTGCGCCGCCCCATGAGTCTCCCGGTCGCGGCCGTCTACGACAAAGCCTGGATTCGAACCAGGTTCTAGTGGCACAGCTAGCACTGCGATGCAGTGCCTTAGACCACTGCGCCACTCGAACTGTAATTCATTTCATAGGCCTAATTGTAAATGACTAAAATGTAAATGTACGATTCTTTGCTACACACATTTCTGGATAACCAATGAGTGACCACTCCTCAGAAACAGCCTTAAGTCATAACGGTTCTACTGCAAGCTTCGTGTGAGCTGCCATATTCATGTGTGAGATACCAGACACAGCCCTGGTTCCATTATAAACAAGCCTTGGTATCTGCTCTTTACAGTGCCTCACATGTCAGTAACTGTCTAGCAATCTCGTCTGGTCATGGGCTATCTACAGTCCATATCCTCCGTGGGTGAAGCTTCTCAGCCACTGTGACCTCACCACCACATACCTCTCATAACACGCCAAATCTAATTTGACCACTTTACAAGGCATTATTGGCTGAGATGGAAGTTTACAAAGATGGCCCTATTCAGCTTAAAAATAGAATTCAAAAACCAAACAAAAGGCACCACTGTGCTGCTCTGCCAAGTATATCTTCACAACTGATAAGCTCAGGATCTGTGACTATTTTTCCATAAATAATGTGCTACTTTTGACCAGAGCCCTATGGGACCTGGTCAAAAGTAGCACACTATATTTTGCCCTGCGACCCCCAAAAAGGAGTGGTTCAAACCTCGCGCTCTGCACGCATATGCACACACGCCCACAATTGCTGGGCAAATGTAACAATCATTACAGCCATAAACGGTAGGGGCGCAACTTTGGTTTTAGAAGTGGGGGAGACATAACCTGGACGCGGTCGTCCTCAGAAGTTGTGTGTACACTTATTGTAAATAAAAATCTAAACCCTTCTACATGAATTTGGATGCTACCATGATTATGGATACTCCTGAAATAATCGTGAATAATGAGTGAGAAAGTTATAGATGCACAAATATCATACCCCCCCAAAACATGCTAACCTTATTTACAATAAAATGACACAATACATTATTTACCATTCATTTCTATTGGGCACAAAGTAATCTGAAACACAACCAAAACAGTAAATGCATCCAACAAATGTGTAGCGTCACAAGCTTGATGTGGTCATTGTGTGCTATGAATATGATAACAAATACTTAACACAAATATAAATGTATTTGTCCCAATACTTTTGCTCCCCCAAAATGGGGGACTATGTACAAAAAGTGCTGTAATTTCTAAACGGTTCACCTGATATGGATGAAAATACCCTCAAATTAAAGCTGACAGTATATACTTTAACTTCATAGTCATTGTTTGATTTCAAATCCAAACTTTTGTAGTATAGAGGCAAAAGAAGGAAAAATGCTTCACTGTCCCAATAATTACAGAGGGCACTGTAATTCATTTCATAGGCCTAATAGTATTGTAGAGCTATTTTTACTTGCACACAATATAGCTGGATCACCCTGTCCTGCCCCTAGGGGTCCACCGCCGTGCAGCGCCCCAACCCAACACACCCCACTCAGCTTTAGGATCTTAGTGAAACATTCATTATTGGTTTGAGTGACAACCAACAGTATGGCAGACCCCCAGGGCCAGGACTGAACCGCCCAACAGCTAGGGATTGCCTAAATAGGTATCTCCCCTGACGTGGGCATGTTTTCAATAGACTCCTTTTGTTGTACAATATTCCATATAAGGCATCCAGACCTTATGAAAGTTGCACAGTATACCTTTAATCTTGTAATAAATCAAATCTAGTGATACATAACTTCACATTTCTGCCATCCATTGTGACGTAGTGGAAGGATAACCAACCTTCCAATTAACGGCAATGCATTTCTTAGCCGCTATAAATGCTACGTTACACAGTTTCTTCTGATAAGTCTCACGTATCAACATTTCTAAGCAAACAAAAACAGGGAGAAAGGAGAGTATGAAGACATGCTGAGATAAAAGTACATATTCTTTGCCAGAATTCAGCCAGCCTTCATAAGAGCATAACATATGCAAATATGTCCCCTTCTGTGTTTTACACCTCCAGCAGAGAAATTACATTTCTGACTGCATGATATTCAGTTTCACAGGTATATAGTACGTTCTATGGAAGGTCTTAAACTGCAGTAATTTATGTCTGAGATTATATGAACATGACTGGGCATTCAAACATACAGTGGGGGAAAAAAGTATTTAGTCAGCCACCAATTGTGCAAGTTCTCCCACTTAAAAAGATGAGAGCCCTGTAATTTTCATCATAGGTACACGTCAACTATGACAGACAAAATCAGAAAAATCCAGAAAATCACATTGTAGGATTTTTAATGAATTTATTTGCAAATTATGGTGGAAAATAAGTATTTGGTCACCTACAAACAAGCACGATTTCTGGCTCTCACAGACCTGTAACTTCTTCTTTAAGAGGCTCCTCTGTCCTCCACTCGTTACCTGTATTAATGGCACCTGTTTGAACTTGTTATCAGTATAAAAGACAGCTGTCCACAACCTCAAACAGTCACACTCCAAACTCCACTATGGCCAAGACCAAAGAGCTGTCAAAGGACACCAGAAACAAAATTGTAGACCTGCACCAGGCTGGGAAGACTGAATCTGCAATAGGTAAGCAGCTTGGTTTGAAGAAATCAACTGTGGGAGCAATTATTAGGAAATGGAAGACATACAAGACCACTGATAATCTCCCTCGATCTGGGGCTCCACGCAAGATCTCACCCCGTGGGGTCAAAATGATCACAAGAACGGTGAGCAAAAATCCCAGAACCACACGGGGGGACCTAGTGAATGACCTGCAGAGAGCTGGGACCAAAGTAACAAAGCCTACCATCAGTAACACACTACGCCGCCAGGGACTCAAATCCTGCAGTGCCAGACGTGTCCCCCTGCTTAAGCCAGTACATGTCCAGGCCCGTCTGAAGTTTGCTAGAGTGCATTTGGATGATCCAGAAGAGGATTGGGAGAATGTCATATGGTCAGATGAAACCAAAATAGAACTTTTTGGTAAAAACTCAACTCGTCGTGTTTGGAGGACAACGAATGGTGAGTTGCATCCAAAGAACACCATACCTACTGTGAAGCATGGGGGTGGAAACATCATGCTTTGGAGCTGTTTTTCTGCAAAGGGACCAGGACGACTGATCCGTGTAAAGGAAAGAATGAATGGGGCCATGTATCGTGAGATTTTGAGTGAAAACCTCCTTCCATCAGCAAGGGCATTGAAGAAGAAACGTGGCTGGGTCAGCATGACAATGATCCCAAACACACCGCCCGGGCAACGAAGGAGTGGCTTCGTAAGAAGCATTTCAAGGTCCTGGAGTGGCCTAGCCAGTCTCCATATCTCAACCCCATAGAAAATCTTTGGAGGGAGTTGAAAGTCCGTGTTGCCCAGCAACAGCCCCAAAACATCACTGCTCTAGAGGAGATCTGCATGGAGGAATGGGCCAAAATACCAGCAAGTGTGTGAAAACCTTGTGAAGTTTTACAGAAAACGTTTGACCTGTGTCATTGCCAACAAAGGGTATATAACAAAGTATTGAGAAACTTTTGTTATTGACCAAATACTTATTTTCCACCATAATTTGCAAATAAATTCATAAAAAATCCTACAATGTGATTTTCTGGATTTCTCATTTTGTCTGTCATAGTTGACGTGTACCTATGATGAAAATGACAGGGCTCTCATCTTTTTAAGTGGGAGAACTTGCACAATTGGTGGCTGACTAAATACTTTTTTTCCCCACTGTATCTGTATCCATTCATCATCATCAATAGTGTCTCCCAGATCTTCCTCACATTTTTGTTATACATGTTTTGTGTCATCGGGAAAAGCCTATCAACTCTTAATACAGTTTGAAAATCAACTTTAGAGGTTTGTCAGACTGCCTTAAAATAGTTTCAATATTTGAAGCCTCTGGCTTGTCCAGTGTTGCATCTGTAAAAGTTCACCTCAGCGCTGTCACACACTGGTCTTCCCTGGTTGCCTAACCCTGCTGAGACCCCTGTCACCATCTGATCCTGCTCAGATGAGGCATGACAAATAATTACCTTGGTGGACATTTATATATTGATTCTATTCTTGGATAACATAAAGGTACAATAATTGAAATGACTATTATTCCCAGATCCAAGACTGTAGCCTACCCATCAACTCAAGATGGAACTGATTGTTATATACTGAAAAATTCACCGGAGCGCCGTAGACTGGTCTTCCCTGGCTGTCTGACCCTGCTGGGACACCTGTCACCATCTGATCCTGCGAAGACATGATGAGCATAGTGTTGTGTACTGACTGTGCACCATGACAGTGAAGCCTGTAGAGCTGTTTATACCGTGTCAGTGTGAAATGTAGGGAATTAGCTAGGGAAACTGACAGATCAATACTGTTACATTGCTATACTGACACTAGTAAAAACTCACATTGCGCTGTCAAAAAATGTCAGAATATCAGTCTTCAATCATTTGGCCACTGATTTCATTGTTTGAATCAGGTCTAGTGTGATTGAGCCAAAAATAATAACTAACGTTAGCAAACTTTTGGCTAGCTCTAATGGTACATCAACTGGCGAAAACTAGCCAAGTTAATTTACTTTTGTTGAAATGGGACAAAACAAAGGCTACAACACATTTCCATAAACACAACAGCTGTTATATACTGCTACCTGACAGATAGCTAGAGGCTAGAGCTGAACTGGCTGTGGTAGCTAGCTAGTTCATTTACTTCAGACAGAACTTCAGTCGAACGGGATGAAACATTAGCTAACGTTACACGTCAGTTACACTACTAGCTCAGCACTGGGAATAAATACATTTTTTTCTGTTTAGTCAATCTGCAGTTACCTTGCCAGTCCAAGAAAGAGTCGCCAGTTTCTGCTCTGCTTGCTTTTACAACTCTGAGAAAAAGCCCAACACACACACAGAAAACTGTTGCCTCTGTTCCCACGCTCTGTGGTGTCTTCAACAAAGTACTCTCAGTTGGTAGAGCAACTGCGCTTGCAATGCTGGGTTGTGGATTACATTCAGACGGGGGACCAGTACGAAAAAGTATGCACTCAATACTGTAAATTGCTCTGGATAAGAGTGTCTACTGAAAAGGAATTAATAGACCAGTTCATATCAAGCAAGTATTTTTATATTCCAAAAGTATTATAAAATTAACTGTTTGGTACAGATAATTATCAGACTCAAGTTACAAATGCTGGTAAACACTCAAATACATTTAGTTTAAAACATTTCACAAAAGTAGTGCAAAATTAGCGGACCGAGAGACGTCTTCAACGCGAGCAATTTGTATTTCTTCATAAAATAAAATTGCCTTACATCCAGGGAGGCTATGCAAGAAATGCAATACATTTTAGACATAATTTGTAGTCAGATTATGTAGCCCCGTATAATATCACTCCGTCATCGGTCATGGCTAACATTCATCTAAATTGCCTAGATGTAATGCTAGACTACATCAATCATAGCTACCTTGCTAAACCATCCCGGACTCTTTTTCTTGGCCATGGCTAACGTGGAGCCGAATCCTGTAATCATCCCAGCAGAAGCGACAGTCGTCAGGAAAGCTGCACCTGAAAAATGTTAATGGGACTTTCTTTATGGGTCACAAGAACGTTGTCGTGTGAGTAACGTTAATCAATTAGCTAACTACTACATTTGTAGTAATACAAAAACGGCTATTATTATATGAGCAAAGAGTAAAACGATCGATAAATAAATAAGCAGTCGCTTGCCTTTCATTAGCTGTAGTTTGTCATCGTTTTCTGTCACAATTGCAGTGACATTCAAACTCGTGTTTTCTTTCTGAGCTGTCATTTTATTTGTCCGACATTTAAATAATTCCGGTGGAAACATGCTCAACTAGGACCGTTTAATTTGTTCTAAACTACTATCTACGTACACATTTTTGGAGCCACGCAAATCAATTGTATCATAATTATTCAGTACTATGCATTTAAACATGAGGATGTATATTTCGATTTGATAGTAGTATACTCCATCTGAAATACAAATACCGATACTACAATTCCAACGGCACTACTAACGTGTGCGCGCATGTGTTTGTTGTTGGGGCTGCTGTACATTGTAGGCAGCGGCAACGGGTGGTGAGCTGTCGTTGCAGTGATACACATTTCTCTGCTTTCAGAACCATGAAGGCATGAACATAAGATTGCGCGTCTCCACAACAAAACTATGAAATCATTATTTTACCGAATCGAGAGAATGTGAGGTGTATCAAGTATAGGATATTGCTACCAACCAACGAAGAACGCGGACACGACGTTATTGCACTGGCGGCTTGCAACGAGAACCTTGCACTTCTAGAAAATCTAATCCGCGCAATTCTGCAGTAAAATGCTCGTCTTTTATTTTGCGTATATCCTCGTTGGAGAATTGCATTTTTCTACACTTTTGAGTTGCTAAACGATTGGTTGAGATATATCTTCTCAGCACTTAAATGTGAAAAGCATTATTTTCTTTTAAGGACACTCGAAGGACGTCTTTATGACTGGGTTTCTTCTCGTGTCCTCCAGATTTTTTCATTGCATTGTGTTTACATAAATCTGGCCAGTAACACCGGTTGCCACGCCTCGCTAGTGGCTACAGTTATAGTTTTTAAAAACGCAATGGAAGTGTTATTCAAACAATTGAGGCAATGTTTATTTTCACACTGACAAAGTGGCATAGCTGATCAAATTCAGGAGGATGCACGTCAGAAAATTGAACTTATTTTAAAGTATTTGAGATTTTTTGAGATTTCTTTTTTTTTTACTGCAATGTATTGTACAGAAACTGACATTTTCTGACAGCATTACATCATCACTGTGCCAAAGGACCTGGAACAAGCACGGAGCACATATTTAACCCCATTTATCAGCTGCCCCTGAATTCTTTGTATTGTTTTGAAAGGTGCACTATTTGCAGATGCATCTCGGACTTGATGAGCCCATGCGGGAATGTCAGTATAATCAGATCTGCACGCGCAACTCGTCGCCTATGGAGACCTCGGGGCACAAAAAGAAGAGGACTCCCCGCAGGAAGTGGCAGATCTTCCCTGGCCGAAATAGATTCTACTGTAATGGAAGGGTCATGATGGCGAGACAGACCGGGGTCTTCTACCTAACCCTGGTCCTCATCATGGTCACCAGCGGCCTTTTCTTCGCATTCGAGTAAGTGCAAATTACACTACAGTAGCTCATGCAAGAACTCATCATTCACAGGTGTGAGCAGTCGTTTTTAAAAGTGGCCAAACTTTTAGGAAATTTAACCCCAAAACTATCTTTTGGTATTTGTTTCATTAGTCCATTGTTGATATAATCTCAAAATGTTTTTTATGTGAGCAATCAAGTTTTCAAGATATATAACTTTAAAAATACAAAATTAAAGCAGGTATCATAATGGCTGTATTTCTCTATTTTGAAAGTTATATATCTTGAAAACTAAGGAAACAAATACCAAAAGAAAATGTTTGGTTGGAGTTTTCCTTTAACCCCCCCCCATTCATATGTAGGGAATATGGTGTCATTTGATACACAGACCCCACTGATTATGAATGCAGCGAATTGTCTACCTTATATAGGGAGAGTTTGTGCCTACAAGCCAGAGAGAATGTTGTCTAGACTGTTTTCCCCTGGTCGTTCCATATCATTTCAGCAAGCCATGACACCCACCATCTTAGATTGTTTGGAAATACTTTTTGTAGTAAGGTTAGCATTCCTGCAACATTATTTTGTTGAAATATAATTTGATATGAGGTATCAAGCTAATTGATTGCACCCAAATTTGGCCATTTTAATTTATAGGATTCATGTGATAAAATAAAATAACATTAGGGAGGCTATATACGGGGGGGTACCGGTGCAGAGTCAATGTGCGGGGGCACCGGCTAGTTGAGGTAGTTGAGGTAATATGTACATGTGGGTAGAGTTAAAGTGACTATGCATAAATAATTAACAGAGTAGCAGCAGCGTAAAAAGTGGGGGTGGGGGGGCAGTGCAAATAGTCCGGGTAGCCATGATTAGCTGTTCAGGAGTCTTATGGCTTGGGGGTAGAAGCTGTTGAGAAGCCTTTTGGACCTACACTTGGCGCTCCGGTACCGCTTGCCGTGTGGTAGCAGAGAGAACAGTCTATGACTAGGGTGGCTGGAGTCTTTGACAATTTTGAGGGCCTTCCTCTGACACCGCCTGGTATAGAGGTCCTGGATGGCAGGAAGCTTGGCCCCAGTGATGTACTGGGCCGTACACACTACCCTCTGTAGTGCCTTGCGGTTGGAGGCCAAGCAGTTGCCATACCAGGCAGTGATGCAACCAGTCAGGATGCTCTCAATGGTGCAGCTGTAGAACATTTTGAGGATCTGAGGACCCATGCTAAATCTTTTCAGTCTCCTGAGGGGGAATAGGCTTTGTCGTGCCCTCTTCACGACTGTCTTGGTGTGTTTGGACCATGATAGTTCGTTGGTGATGTGGACACCAAGGAACTTGAAGCTCTCAACCTGTTCCACTACAGCCCCGTCGATGAGAATGGGGGCGTGCTCAGTCGTCTTCTTTTTCCTGTAGTCCACAATCATCTCCTTTGTCTTGATCATGTTGAGGGAGAGGTTGTTATCCTGGCACCACACAGCCAGGTCTCTGACCTCCTCCCTATAGGCTCTCTCATCGTTGTCGGTGATCAGGCCTACCACTGTTGTGTCGTCGGCAAACTTAATGATGGTGTTGGAGTCGTGCCTGGCCATGCAGTCATGGGTGAACAGGGAGTACAGGAGGGGACTGAGCACCCACCCCTGAGGGACCCCTGTGTTGAGGATCAGCGTGGCAGATGTGTTGTCACCTACCCTTTTCACCTGGGGGCGGCCTGTCAGGGAGTCCAGGATCCAGTTGCAGAGGGAGGTGTTTAGTCCCAGGATCCTTAGCTTAGTGTTGAGCTTTGAGGGCACTATGGTGTTGAATGCTGAGCTGTAGTCAATGGATAGCATTCTCACGTAGGTGTTCCTCTTGTCCAGGTGGGAAAGGGCAGTGTGGAGTGCAATAGAGATTGCATCATCTGTGGATCTGTTGGGGCTGTAAGCAAATTGGAGTGGGTCTAGGGTTTCTGGGATAATGGTGTTGATGTGAGCCATGACCAGCCTTTCAAAGCACTTCATTGCTACAGACGTCAGTGCTACGGGTCGGTAGTCATTTAGACAACCGCTTGGTTTTCGAAGTGGCGTCCAGCCCAGCCATTTTCCAGAGGACAATGGACAATCTGCTGCAGGGGATCCCTCATGTAGCAGTGTACCTGGACGACATCCTGGTTACAGGGGAGACGGAGGAGCTCCTTCACCATCTGGACCAGGTGTTAAAGAGATTATCTGAGGCAGGGATGCGCCAGAAGCGTAGCAAGTGCACATTCCAAGCACAGTGTGTGACATACCTAGGTCACAAAATCACAGCGCAGGGTCTGTGTCCTGTGGAGGACAAAGTCAGGGCAATCAAGGATGCTCCAAACCCCAAGAATGTGTCCGAGCTCAGGTGGTTCCTGGGCATGGTGAACTACTATGGTAAGTTCCTCCCTGAGCTGTCAACAGTGTTGGCTCCACTTTATCAGCTGCTCCACAAAGACTGTAAATGGAAGTGGGGGCCAGCACAAGAGAAAGCTTTCAAGGAAGTGAAAGCACTACTACAATCAGCACAACTTCTGGTTCATTTTGACCAAGACAAAGAGATCATCCTGTCATGTGACGCCTCGCCCTATGGCGTCGGGGCAGTACTCTCTCATCAGATGGAGAACAGGTCAGAGAAACCCATTGGATTCGTATCACATACGCTGACGAGTGCTGAGAAGAGTTATTCATACACTGCTCAAAAAAATAAAGGGAACACTTAAACAACACAATGTAACTCCAAGTCAATCACACTTCTGTGAAATCAAACTGTCCACTTAGGAAGCAACACTGATTGACAATACATTTCACATGCTGTTGTGCAAATGGAATAGACAACAGGTGGAAATTATAGGCAATTAGCAAGACACCCCCAATAAAGGACTGATTTGCAGGTGGTGACCACAGACCACTTCTCAGTTCCTATGCTTCCTGGCTGATGTTTTGGTCACATTTGAATGCTGGCGGTGCTTTCACTCTAGTGGTAGCATGAGACGGAGTCTACAACCCACACAAGTGGCTCAGGTAGTGCAGCTCATCCAGGATGGCACATCATGCGAGCTATGGCAAGAAGGTTTGCTGTGTCTGTCAGCGTAGTGTCCAGAGCATGGAGGCGCTACCAGGAGACAGGCCAGTACATCAGGAGACGTGGAGGAGGCCGTAGGAGGGCAACAACACAGCAGCAGGACTGCTACCTCCGCTTTTGTGGAAGGAGGAGCAGGAGGAGCACTGCCAGAGCCCTGCAAAATGACCTCCAGCAGGCCACAAATGTGCATGTGTCTGCTCAAACGGTCAGAAACAGACTCCATGAGGGTGGTATGAGGGCCCGACGTCCACAGGTGGGGGTTGTGCTTACAGCCCAACACCGTGCAGGACGTTTGGCATTTGCCAGAGAACACCAAGATTGGCAAATTCACCACTGGCGCCTTGTGCTCTTCACAGATGAAAGCAGGTTCACACTGAGCACGTGACAGACGTGACAGTCTGGAGACGCCGTGGAGAACGTTCTGCTGCCTGCAACATCCTCCAGCATGACCGGTTTGGCGGTGGGTCAGTCATGGTGTGGGGTGGCATTTCTTTGGGGGGCCGCACAGCCCTCCATGTGCTCGCCAGAGGTAGCCTGACTGCCATTGGGTACCGAGATGAGATCCTCAGACCCCTTGAGAGACCATATGCTGGTGCGGTTGGCCCTTGGTTCCTCCTAATGCAAGACAATGCTAGACCTCATGTGGCTGGAGTGTGTCAGCAGTTCCTGCAAGAGGAAGTCATTGATGCTATGGACTGGCCCGCCCGTTCCCCAGACCTGAATCCAATTGAGCACATCTGGGACATCATGTCTCGCTCCATCCACCAACGCCACGTTGCACCACAAATGTCCAGAAGTTGGCGGATGCTTTAGTCCAGGTCTGGGAGGAGATCCCTCAGGAGACCATCCGCCACCTCATCAGGAGCATGCCCAGGCGTTGTAGGGAGGTCATACAGGCACGTGGAGGCCTCACACTACTGAGCCTCATTTTGACTTGTTTTAAGGACATTACATCAAAGTTGGATCAGCCTGTAGTGTGGTTTTCCACTTTAATTTTGAGGGTGACTCCAAATCCAGACCTCCATGGGTTGATAAATTTGATTTCCATTGATCATTTTTGTGTGATTTTGTTGTCAGCACATTCAACTATGTAAAGAAAAAAGTATTTAATAAGATTATTTCATTCATTCAGATCTAGGATGTGTTATTTTAGTGTTCCCTTAATTTTTTTGAGCAGTGTAGTTAGACAAGGAAGGTCTGGCCATAGTCTTTGCTGCGAAACGCTTCCATCAGTACCTCTACGGTCGTCATTTCACCATATGCACTGACCACAAACCATTTTTACATTTACATTTTAGTCATTTAGCAGACGCTCTTATCCAGAACGACTTACAGTTAGTGAGTGCATACATTTATATGTATATATTTTTTTTTTCATACTGGCCCCCCGTGGGAATCGAACCCACAACGCCATGTTCTACCAACTGAGCTACATCCCTGCTACAAACCACTGATGAGCCTTTTCAGTGAATCAAGATGCATTCCTCCCATGGCTTCAGCAAGGATACAGCGCTGGGCCCTCACACTGTCAGCTAACCAGTACACTATAGTGTATAGAGCGGGGAAGGACAATGCAAACGCAGACGCGCTCAGCCGTCTCCCGCTACCAGAGATGCCCGCCACAACTGTGGTGCCTCTCGAGACAATTTTCCTAATAGAGAGATTATCAAACTCACCTGTGAATGCCAAACAGATCAAACAGTGGACAGACCGGGATCCTATCCTGTCCCAAGTGAAAATATTCCTTATGCAGGGTTGGCCTCCTGTCATAGAGAATGATGGACTAAGACCTTATGCAAAGTGCAAAACTGAGCTGAGTGTGCAGGATGGCTGCATACTCTGGGGGTCCAGAGTGGTTGTTCCACCCCCTGCCTCCCGGATGAAAAGTTTAGCCAGATCTTCCATCTGGTGGCCTAACATGGATCAGGACGTAGGAAACAAAGTGAAATCATGTTCTGAGTGTCAGAGTAACCAGAAGATGTGGGAGTGGCCTGACCGCCCATGGTCCAGGCTGCACATAGACTTTGCAGGCCCTTTCATGGGACACATGTTCCTTGTCATGGTGGACGCGCACTCCAAGTGACTGGAGGCTCACATCATGAGCAACATCACAGCGACCACAACCATCGAAAAGCTTCGGCAGGTGTTTGCAACCCATGGTCTGCCGGACTCTCTTGTGTCCGACAACGCCACAACCTTTTTACCTGTGACTTGTTTCAAGAATGAATGCGGAGAAACGGGATTCGCCATGTCCGCAGCGCTCCGTTTCACCCGGCCTCAAACGGCTTAGCGGAGCGGGCTGTGCAGACACTGAAAGAGGGGCTCAAAAGGATGACTGGGGGAACCATCACAACTAAGCTCTCTCGGTTCTTGTTCCAGTACTGCATCACGCCACAAACAACAACAGGACAGGCTCCAGCTGAGATGTTAATGGGCAGAAAGCCAAAAGCTCACCTGGATCTACTGCGTCCGGACATCAAAGCACGAGTGGAACGGAAGCAGGAGAAACAAAAAGAGAGACATGACCACCACGCGAGGGAGAGACAGTTAAAACCCAATGACACTGTCTACATACGCAACTTCACAAGCAGCCAACGCTGGTTGCCAGGTATCATTCTGAGTCAGAGTGGTCCCGTCTCCTTTGTGGTCAAACTGACTGATGGTTGAGTCATGCGCGGACACCAGGACCACATCCGCCTGCGCTATGACAAAGACAAGACCATGTTTTCAGACGGAACAGCTGTGGGTGGTAGTATACAAGTTGAAACCCCACAGGAAACAGTATCTGAGGAACAGGGGCATTCAGTGGTTCCAGCAGAGGGTGATGAACATTCTCTCACAAACACCCAACCCGCTCCTGTGCCCTCAGACCCAGCTCCACGGGGACACGCCTTACCTGTGTCTCGTGGCACACCAGGAGTACTGCGCAGATCACAGCGTAGTCACAAGCCTCCTGAAAGACTTACTCTGTAGTTGAGACTGAGAGACTCGTGGTGTTAGTGTTTGTTTGGAGCAGCAGACCTAGTGGAAAAGAAATAAGGACAGTCATTTTTTTGTTTTGTTTACATTTACAGTAACACCAGCAGAAGTGCTACAGTATTGAAAAGAAAACACTGATGTGGTTTACATGTTAACCTTATGTTTTCCTTACAGAGGGGATTTAAATTGAGGGGGGAGAAGTGTTACAGTGTGGACACTATATAAATAATTACATTGAATGTGTGTTGTACTTACCTGCAGTATAGTATGATTGCTATTCATGTGTGCATGGTTATTATTGGTATTGACCGTGACCTTTCCCCTTTGATGATGTCATCACCAAGAGTCAGATCTGTACAATGTGATTCTACCACAGGTTGAGTGGGCTGTATCGTTCTGCTGTTTTTGTACCATTTGTACATGGCTGTACACCTTTTATTTATTGGATTGAAAGTAAAGGAAAGTAATATTGAAATGCGTGTGGGCATTCCTTGTCAAGTTACTACAACCATAGTGCCCTCAAAGCTCATCACTAAGCTAAGGACCCTGGGACTAAACACCTCCCTCTGCAACTGGATCCTGGACTTCCTGACGGGCCGCCCCCAGGTGAAAAGGGTAGGTAACAACACATCTGCCACGCTGATCCTCAACACGGGGTTCCCTCAGGGGTGCGTGCTCAGTCGCCTCCTGTACTCCCTGTTCACCCATGACTGCATGGCCAGGCACAACTCCAACACCATCATTAAGTTTGCTGACGACACAACAGTGGTAGGCCTGATCACCGACAACGATGAGACAGCCTATAGGGAGGAGGTCAGACACCTGGCCGTGTGGTGCCAGGATAACAACCTCTCCCTCAACATGATCAAGACAAAGGAGATGATTGTGGACTACAGGAAAAAGAAGAGGACTGAACACGCCCCCATTCTCATCGACGGGACTGTAGTGGAGCAGGTTGAAAACTTCAAGTTCCTTGGTGTCCACATCATGGTCCAAACACACCAAGACAGATGTGAACAAAGCCTATACCCCCTCAGGAGACTGAAAATATTTGGCATGGGTCCTCAGATCCTCAAAAAGTTTTACAGCAGCACCATCGAGAGCATCCTGACTGGTTGCATCACTGCCTGGTATGGCAACTGCTCGGCCTATGACCGCAAGGCATTACAGAGGGTAGTGCGCACGGCCCAGTACATCACTGGGGCAAAGCTCCCTGCCATCCAGGACCTCTATACCAGGCGGTGTCAGAGGAAGGCCCTAAAAATTGTCAAAGACTCCAGCCAACCGAGTCATAGACTGTTCTCTCTGCTACCACACTGTTGTGTGTTGTGTTGTGTCGTCGGCAAACTTAATACCGAAACAATAGCCATTTCTTTGGATTCCTCATGTCTAATTCATTCTTAGAAAGAAAGTTTGGTCCAAATCCGATGTTAGGTACTATATTTATTGAATATTATATGAATCCTATAAATTAAAATGGCCAATTTGGGTTCAATCAATTAGCTTAATTTCTCAGATATCAAATTATATTTCAACAAAATAATGTTGCAGGAATGCTAATTGTATCTGTTTCTAACAACAAACAATTTTAGAACAATCTGAGATGGTGGGTGTCGAAATCCTATTTTTTGTGCTTTTTGAGGTGGAACAACCCTCCCTTTCAAATGGTCACAGAGCTTCGGTTTCGCCAAGCAGATGGAATTTACTCCACTCAGTCAACCTTTGGTGAGCAGAGCTCCTAACATTGCAGAAACGTAATGGTTCTCAATCCTCATTGGTCAGGAAAGATTATGTAATAGAATTTGTTTGCTCCATATTTGTGTTAGTAATGACTAATGAGTTACTTGTTTTTAGGGGTCAGGTGAATGCATTCCTTGGGTTGATGTATTTCATTTGGGTTTTCCAGGGCTCTGACATGCATAGATGTTGAGAAATATGAACACAAGGAGTTATTGTGATGTTTGTGCAATCCGCAGGGTCGGGGATACAGGACAAACCATCCCTTTCAACTTAGTCAGCAGGCCTCATAGTCGTCCTCTGGGATCCTGTCTCACACGTTGAAGGTCTATGAAATGTTTTTGTAGCCCTCTAAGCTTCTGCAGGTTTTCAAAGGGTCATGTTTAAAGGTTTGTATAATAGCAATCAAGATGGGTTCAAATTCAGAAACTTTTTGGATTTGCTTAGTGTATCAGCCTGAAAACATTTCCATTTTAGTCATTAAGCAGACAAGCCTGTAATTCAATGGCCTAGGCTATTCATTGAGTGATGAAATGCCACATATGTAAGGCACAACAGTAAGTCAGATACACAGATGTCTTCAATTAGACATTTGAATGACAGCTCGTATAGGCCCACTATTATGACATGCAAATTCATTCATTTGAGAGTGACACCGATCCTAATATGCAAAGAGAAGACTGGGAGATGAGTGACAGATATTTTCCGGTCGGTCTACCCATCCCCCCATCTTTCCTTCTCTGTTGCCTTTCATTCCTCCCACGTTCCATACCACACCTTCCAAAACATGGCACCCCAGTGTTCCCGTTTCCGTGGTAACAGTTTTTCCTCTTAAGCTCTTTGTGTCCTGTCGAACCAACAGCCTGCATCTCCAAGGCAACTGGAGGAGAGTCACCGATTGTTCCAGTTTGATTTGGCTTGCATCCCAAATGGCATCCTGTTAATCGGCATCGGTTGCCATTTGGGACTCAGACTTGGTCTCTGTTGTGTTTGACTAAAGATAAGACTAAAGTAATTGCACTCCTCTAGCCAGAATGTAGAGTGTCTCTAAACTACAGGCAAAACATTCATCCATTTATAGTCCAACATGCTCTGGGATTTTCCTGGGAAACATTGCACAAATGGTCCAATGAATGAAGCATAACAAGGATGAATTGTGTCGTGATTCAACCTTGGAATGGATCAACTTCTGGTTACTCATTGCATTGTATAAAGCCTCAGCAAAGGAGATGAGACACTCATGCCTGAATGTTTTCACTTCTCCTATATTTACATTTTAGTCATCTAGCAGACGCTCTTATCCAGAGTGACTTAACCCTAATTGCTCCTGTAAGTGCCTTGTTCAGGGCACATAGACAGATTTTTCACCTAGTTGGCTCGGGATTCAAACCAGCGACATTTCAGTAACTGGGCCAACCCTCTTAACCGCTAGGCTACCTTTCAAACTTTCATTCAAACTATTTTTTCAGTACAGTATCCAAGACTGTCCAAATTCCATAGTCTTTACCAATGGCAATGTCCTTGTATTTCCAAAGGCAGTGGGATAGTGAAGTGCAGGTAGAATGAAAAATTCACTCTACCATGTCCCTACCCAACCGTTCCCTCCACTGTGTGCCAGATCTCCAAGCCAGCCCTCTGACAATTATCCATGTTTTCTTTACAATGCCAACAACAACATTGGGCGATTACCTCCCCCAGTCCTCCTTAGACACAATGGGAGACATTTTTAAAGAGGACTACTTGGAAACTTGCTGCAGCTATTTCCAATCCCAGCATGACGAACTGATAAGATCTGAGTTTCAGTCTAATTCAATTCCAGCGTAGCCACCTCACAGAGCCAAAGTGGCAGCTATACAGATCTCAGATCAGTTAACACTGACTATGCTAAGTGGATAAAAGCAGTGTATTTCACCTCATGGCTAGTACCATTTCATATTTAAAATAGTTTGAGGGCTCCCTCATCTCTGCCTAGACTATAACCTGAAACCAATTATTCAAACCAATGACTCAAACCTGCGCTCAACATGCCTCCCTCATGAAATCATGGGGATCTCGATGTCCAATATTGGAACAACCCATAGAGGACTTTAGGGAACCTACATGGGGTTGAGATTTTACTATTTTAAGAGATTTTGATTGGATATTATGCCCACTAAAATATTAACGGATTACATGGACATGATGCTTCCCAATCCTTTTTTTAATTGACCCCCTGTATAATAGATAATACTAGGTAGGAACATTCAAAATGTTTCCAAACATTATTATGTTATAGGGAAAGTCCCAAATGGCACCCTACTCCCTACATAGTGCACTACTTTTGACAAGAGTCCAATGGGGCTCTGGTCAAAAGTAGTGCACTATGTACGGAATAGTGTGCCAGTTCAGATACAACCATGATTTGCAAATGATTGAAATCCTCTGAGAGGAGCCATAGTGGAGTAATTTAGGAATTTCCCCACCAAGCCACGAATAACAGCATCTGGGGCTGCTGTCCTTACTAACCCATAGGACCAGTCGCTATGTCCTCTCACTCAAGTTCAAGTTTTATTGTTTTATGCACAAGTACCGTGAAATGCTTAACTTGCAAGCTCTACAGTGGTTGTGTCCCAAATGGCATCCTATTCCCTATATAGTGCACTACTTTTGACCAGAGCCTTATGGGTCCATTTGTATGGAAAAATGCACATAACTCCATACCATTGCCATATGCACATATGTATGTGCTGCTATAGACCCAGGCTATGAGAAGAAAAGAATGGAGCCTCTGTTCATTTCTAGAAATAATGTGAAAATAAACATGAAGGTATACCTTTCATTTCATGTTTTTGTTACGGATGCCAGTCGAGGAAAATGCTTGGAAATAGTTTTTCTTCTCAGGCTGAGGCCAGTAGATTTCAGTCAGTGGATGCGTCCCAAATGGCACCCTATTTCCTATATAGTGCACTACTTTTGACCAGAGCCCTATGGGGTGTGTTGAATTGTGCCACAGAAAAGCTTTCCAGGAAGGCCGTTCCTCCTTGGCCCCGGCCCCCAGTCTTGTCACCTAATGACGTTAGGTACAGAGGACAGACAGTACAGTAGTGCTATAATGTGATTACACTAACCAACATCTGTTCATGAACAAAACACTAGGCATGGTTTAAGTGAGTTAATCAAATAAATAAGTGTGTGTATGTGTGCACATGCCTGTTTATCTTAACAGTTTTATTAGTTGTAAACTTTCCACCCACCCAGATACAGAGAGACCACACTAAGACCAGCTAATAAATACAGCTACATACTTTTCCATTCCTAAATGGTTTTGTTCTTCCGCTCTTCCAGCTGCCCGTTCCTGGCATCCAACCTGACCCCGGCCATCCCGGTGATCGGAGGGGTGCTGTTCGTCTTTGTTCTGGGGATGCTGTTCAGGGCCAGCTTCAGTGACCCGGGGGTCCTGCCCCGCGCCACGCCCGACGAGGCTGCCGACCTGGAGAGACAGATAGGTAACTATGGAGACCACCTGGTTTCCAAACAGTCAAAAGTAGTGCTCTATGTAGGGAATGGGGTGCATTTTGGGACTTTGCAGAGGCAGAACTCTGCACTCTGAAACTCTGAGATGGTCTGAACTCTCTTCTCCATGTTTGTGTTCTGCTGATGAGGCAGATAGATTTATCAACGTGAACTTCACCCAACCTCTATCAAACGGCATGGATCGAGCCAATCACATGCCACCCTCTAAACGCCTCTCAGTGTGTGTGTGTGTATCAGTGAGATGATCAGGTATTCAGTGTTTATGTTTGGAGATGACATCAGCTTTGAGAGGCACTTTGCCCTGAGCACAATGGCATGTTGTCGAAACAGCCTGATTTCATTTTAGAGTTCAATTTAGAAAAGATCTCAGCCGTGTCGCAAATGTTACCATATTCCCTATTTAGTGCAATACTTTCGACCAGGACTCATAGGGCTCTGGTCAAACGTAGTTCAATATATAGGGAATAGGGATCCAACCCTCCATTTGGGATCCAACCCTCCTTTATCACTGGCGCAAGCCACTGGTTCCCTTTTGTTATGAGACGTCCAATCCAATGTGAACCAAGAAGAATCAGTCAGGGATGTTCAATGAGAGAAATATGTGCTATACAGACAGAACAATCAATGTATTTTTGGAACTGTGTTTTTCCCTGTGAATACAGCATTCCGGAACAGACCTGTCAATCACAAAATAGTCATTACTGAGAGAATGACCAAATGTGGGCATTGCTTGCTCTGTGCATCTAACTCCAGCTTTCTTATAGCAGGATAGAAAACATCTCATGGATGCGTCCCAAATGGAACCCTATTCCTCATGTAATGCACTACTTTTGACCATTTCCCATAGGACTCTGGTCAAAAGTAGTAAACTATATAGGAAATGGGGTGCCATTTGGGACATAACCTATGTCTCACCACCTTAACGCTGTTGTATACAGTTCATGAGGAAGGGTGGAAAGTTTATATTTACTCAGTTTGGTTGTTTAGTGTCTGTGGTCAGTCACTATGTGATACACATCTAGAAATAACATCTGCACATCCTTTATTAAAGGATCTGGAGGTTCTGGACTGTACAGTCAACTCTACAAACAGTGAAATTGGTGCTAATTGTCGTCAAAATCATGCCTGCAAACAATACCTATTAACAAGAATTACATTTGGTTTATTAAACATTGATGAAAATGGATATTACAGGCCTGCACTGAAAAAGTAGTGAACTTTTGAAGAGGTTGCCCTATTGTCTGTTTCACAACCTAGCCCTTGCAAACTAAACGCCTTCAAACTACTTTATTTTCCCCTCTTTGTCTTTCTCTCTCCCACGCTTCTTCAGTCTCGCTCCCAAATGCTAGCTTTGGAGCAGCTCGATATGTTTTCAATTCTAAGCTGCTTTCTTTGCTGCTTCCCACAACTTGCAGTCCCACAATGCATTCTGTCTGATGTCTGCCGTGCTTCTCTCTCTCCTCTCCTTTATACACACTACCAGTCAAAAGTTTGGACACACCTACTCATTCATTGTTTTTTCTTTATTTTTACTATTTTCTACATTGTAGAATAATAGTGAAGACATCAAAACTATGAAATAACACATATGGAATCGTGTAGTAACCAAAAAAGTGTTAAACAAATCAAAATATATTTTATATTCTTCAAAGTAGCCACCCTTTGCCTTGATGTCAGCTTTGCACACTCTTGGCTTCCTCTCAACCAGCTTCACCTGGAATGATTTTCCAACAGTCATGAAGGACTTCCCACATATGTTGAGCACTTGTTGGCTGCTTTTCCTTCTCTCTGTGGTCCAACTCATCCCAAACCATCTCAATTGGGTTGAGGTCAGTTGATTGTGGAGGCCAGGTCATCTGATGCAGCGCTCCATCACTCCCCTTCTTGGTCAAATAGCCCTTACACAGCCTGGAGGTGTGTTGGGTCATTGTCCTGTTGAAAAACAAATGATAGTCCCACTAAGCGCAAACCAGATGGGATGGCGTATCGCTGCAGATTGCTGTGGTATTCATGCTGGTTAATTATGCCTTGAATTCTAAATAAATCACAGACAGTGTCACCAGCAAAGCACCATCACACCTCCTCCTCCATGCTTCACAGTGGGAACTCTGGGTCTTCCTTTCTTGTGGCGGTCCTCATGAGAGCTAGTTTCATCATAGCGCTTGATAGTTTTTTCGACTGCACTTGAAGAAACCTTCAATGTTCTTGACATTTTCCTGATTGACTGACCTTCATGTCTTAAAGTAATGATGGACTGTCATTTCTCTTTGCATATTAGAGCTGTTCTTGCCATAATATGGACTTGGTCTTTTACCAAATAGGGCTATCTTCTGTATACCACACCTACCTTGTCACAACACAACTGATTGGCTCAAACGCATTAAGAAGGAAAGAAATTCCACAAATTCACTTTTAACAAGGCACACCTGTTAATTTAAATGCATTCCAGGTTACTACCTCATGAAGCTGGTTGAGAGAATGCCAAGAGTGTGCAAAGCTGTCATCAAGGCAAAGGGTGGCTACTTTGAAGAATCTCAATTTGTTTAACACTTTTTTGGTTACTACATGATTCCATATGTGTTATTTCATAGTTTTGATGTCTTCACTATTATTCTGCAATGTAGAAAATAGTAAAAATAAAGAAAAACCCTTGAATGAGTAGGTGTGTCCAAACTTTTGTCTGGTACTGTACATCTCCTCATTCCTGCACTGTCAGCGTCGTGTTTAATGCATTCACAATCCTCTGTGTATAAGAATGGCATGTGAAGTGATAGCAAGTGATCTCCTTTCCTTTCCGCAAAAAACATAATGTATGCTCCGTTCCAACGCTACTGTCACCGCCACTGTCAATGTCTTGTTTTTCATATGCACAAAGTCATGGCTAAATATTGAGGCTAAATCTCAGTCCCACAGATGTTCACCACATTGATATTCCGTCGTCGCCTGATACTTTGATCCAAGGTCACTTTATCACAGCCCTTTTTAAAGCCTGATAGTTAAAGCTGCAATATGTCACTTTTTGGGCGACCTGACCAAATTCACATAGTAATAATAATATTTGTTATAGATCTGTCATTCTCATTGAAAGCAAGTCTAAGAAGTGGTAGATCTATTCTATGTGTGCTATTTCTATGCTTTCAGTTCTTAAGTTTAGTTTTTGCGTCTTTTACTTTCAGTTTTGTACACCAGCTTCAAACAGCTGAAAATACAATATTTTTGGTTATGTAAAAGATGTTTCACAGCGGTTTAGATGGTACAATGATTTTCTACACTATACTTGCTTGTTTTGTCACATAAACTGAAATTAGGTGAACTATTAGAATTTTAGCAACCAGGAAATGGCGGAGCGATCTTTAATGTTTATACAATCAATTTATATTAAACAATAAACCAGTGGTACAGTGCGATTTTAAATGTTAAAAAGGAATGACGGTGTATGAAAACAATGGTCTAAGGCAGTGATGCAGAGTGAGTGATATGCAGGGCTGCAGGGCGTCACTTTGGCCCCCACCCGCCAGGGACCTCGGCCCCGTCAGACCCCACTGAGAGAAATAAATAACTTTGTCTGGGTCAGTGAGGTGTGGCCCCCCATCTCCAAGCTGGAAGAGCATGCAGTGTGTGTCTGTGTGCGTTTGCACCTTTCGAGTCTCTCTGTGTGTGTGTGTGTGTGTGTGTGTGTGTGTGTGTGAGCCTCTAAAGTCTGTGTGTGTGTGTGTGATGAATGCTAGGTCCTGCAGAGCAGATTAATAATGTAATGTCAAGTAAACACTGTGCCACCGTGCCCCAGGGGTCTGCCGCTGTAAATTGCATCAGCGAGGAAACCAGTAAAATGTGCTGACTGTGAAAGCCTATACTGTTGATGTGATGGCTTGACTTGTTTTGTTTATTACGGGGAACAGGGAAATAAAAACTGAGCCAGAGCCACCTTGGATACAGGAGTTCGTATCTGTTCCTTTCCAGACTGGCTGTGCTTTAGAAATAACATACAGCTCTGAGACTGCACTGGATATCCAACATAGGAAAACAAAGGAAAATGCTTCCCTTGTGAACTAAATCTGACTTGGTCTTGTGTGGTCCTCTTCAGACGCCGCTAACGGCCCCAGTGGTCCAGGGTACAGGCCGCCCCCGAGGATCAGAGAGGTGGTCATCAACGGGCAGACGGTCAAGCTTAAGTACTGCTTCACTTGCAAGATCTTCAGGCCCCCACGGGCCTCGCACTGCAGCCTGTGTGACAACTGTGTGGGTGAGTGGAGTAAACCTGGACCTCACTCAGACTCTCCGGCATCTGGGGGAACATAATAGAAGAAACTGACTAACTCGATGGCTGTTCCATATGACCTTTAAACCACCTACTCTCTCCCACTCGTCCTCTCTCTCTTTCCACTTCGTATTTCCCTTCTATCCGCTACCATCTTCCCTCTCTCTTCCCCTTTATTTCTCTCTTCCACTCTTTCCCCTTCTCTACACTTCCCTCTCTTCTACCCTATTTCCTCTCTCTCTCCCTCTCCCCTCTTTCTCTATCTCTTTCTTACACTCTCTCTCTCCTCTTTCTCTCACTCTCTCCCGTCTCTCTCTCCCTCTCTCCTCTTTCTCTCTCCTCTCTCTTTCTCTCACGCTCTCTCACCCCCTCGCTCTCTCTCTCTCTGCAGAGCGTTTTGACCACCACTGTCCCTGGGTGGGGAACTGTGTTGGGAAGAGGAACTACCGTTTCTTCTACCTCTTCATCCTCTCCCTCTCCTTCCTCACAGTCTTCATCTTCGCCTTCGTTATCACACACGTCATCCTGAGTGAGTAACTCCGACCAGAGACACACACACACAGTGTTGATGCCCTGAGATAAACACAAAACTATGTTTTTCCCCAAACAAAGTCTCCTATACACGTCAGGTACCCTGAACATACTGCTTGTTATCTAGATAATATCAACAAGGACAAGATAAGTGAATGCATAACCCTGGTATTTCTGTAATAGGTATCAATCTTTTTTGCCCTAGCCTTCTTTACTTAATTTTCCTATCCCGATACACTGCAGCACAGGTTTCCCACATAGTTTTCAGAGAGACGGAGTGTTGGGACACTTTACTGTACACCACAGATCAGTCAGCCACAGTAGGGGCCGTATGTATCAAGCCTCTCAGAGGAGAAGTGCTGATCTACCACCTGTCCATGTAATCTTATTCATTGTGATCTAAAAGCCTAAACTGATCCTAAATCAGCACTTCTACTCTGAGATACACTGAGCTTGATACATACGGCCCCAGGGGTGTGCATTACTGCAACCCCAGTCTGGGGACCACAACTCACTGTGCAGGGAGAGAGTCAACGAACGCATGGCCTTAATTACATACCTGTTTGTTTCTAAGTCATTTCCCACAATGGTTTTTCTGGGTGATTATGGCTTCTCTACAGGCAATAATGAATGGATTTAGGTTTCATTTGCATCAGTGATCAGCAGTAGGCCCATTGATTACTGTAACTAACAGCGTCAGTCTTAGGGGTTGTGGGTATTGATAGTGGTTAGTGTATCCTGTGTGTAGCCTAGAGATGGGATGAGGGAGCTTCTTCTGAATCATTAACTGTCAGTCATTGTCATGTCCAAAATGGTACCCTATTGGCTCTGGTCAAAAGTAGTGCACTATATAGGGAATAGGGTGCCATTTGGGACTCGCACATTCCCTGCTGCGCCACAGTAGAGACGTTTTGATCAAGACTAGAGTTCCTGGTTGATGACTTTAACTGATTCAGCCTATTGACCCTTCACATTAAGCACTGACTTAAATCTATTTTTCTCATCATTGCCTTTGTGTAGGGAGGTTTTCAATGGGTTACTGCTGTATTAGCGGAGCACAGGGCTAGAGATCTTTGCTGCTCCTCTCTGTTCTCCCAGGTCCACTCAGTCAGTGAGACTAGCATCAGTTACTCTCCCAGGTGCAGTCAGTCAGTGTGACTAGCATCAGTTACTCTCCCAGTGCAGTCAGTAGTGGAATCAGTACTCTCCCAGGTGCAGTCAGTCAGTGTGACTAGCATCAGTTACTCTCCCAGCTGCAGTCAGTCAGTGAGACTAGCATCAGTTACTCTCCCATGCGTCAGTCAGTGGATGCATAGTATCTCAGTGCATCATCAGTGGATCTCTCATTATCTCCCAGCTGCAGTCAGTCAGTGAGACTAGCATCAGTTACTCTCCCAGCTGCAGTCAGTCAGTGTGACTAGCATCAGTTACTCTCCCAGCTGCAGTCAGTCAGTGAGACTAGCATCAGTTACTCTCCCAGCTGCAGTCAGTCAGTGTGACTAGCATCAGTTACTCTCCCAGCTGCAGTCAGTCAGTGTGACTAGCATCAGTTACTCTCCCAGCTGCAGTCAGTCAGTGAGACTAGCATCAGTTACTCTCCCAGTGCAGTCAGTCATGTGACTAGCATCAGTTACTCTCCAGCTGCAGTCAGTCAGTGTGACTAGCATCAGTTACTCTCCCAGGTGAGTCAGTCAGTGTGACTAGCATCAGTTACTCTCCCAGGTGCAGTCAGTCAGTGAGACTAGCATCAGTTACTCTCCCAGGTGCAGTCAGTCAGTGTGACTAGCATCAGTTACTCTCCCAGGTGCAGTCAGTCAGTGTGACTAGCATCAGTTACTCTCCCAGGTGCAGTCAGTCAGTGAGACTAGCATCAGTTACTCTCCCAGCTGCAGTCAGTCAGTGTGACTAGCATCAGTTACTCTCCAGTGCAGTCAGTCAGTGTGACTAGCATCAGTTACTCTCCCAGCTGCAGTCAGTCAGTGAGACTAGCATCAGTTACTCTCCCAGCTGCAGTCAGTCAGTGTGACTAGCATCAGTTACTCTCCCAGCTGCAGTCAGTCAGTGAGACTAGCATCAGTTACTACTCTCTCAGCTCTCGTCTCAGTGGACTTGACTACACAGTCTCTCTGCCTCTGCTGCATCTCTGTGCTGCTCAGTTCTTTCTCCGCTCTCTCGTTGTCTACTGCATCATTTTGTAGTCTGCTGTTACTGACTGCTCTCATCTGTGCTCATAGACTTTGGATTCTCAACTCTCTCTCTTCTCTCTTCTCTCTGTCCTTCTCTCTGCTCTCTCTGCTCTCTCTGCTCTCTCTGTTTCTCTCTGCTCCTCCTGCTCTCTCTCTGCTTCTCTGCTCTCTCTGCTCGCCTCTGTTCTCTCTGCTCTCTCTGCTCTCTCTGTTCTCTCTGCTCTCTCTGCTCTCTCTGCTCTCTCTGTTCTCTCTGCTCTCTCTGCTCTCTCTGTTCTCTCTGCTCTCTCTGCTCTCTCTGTTCTCTCTGCTCTCTCTGCTCTCTCTGCTCTCTGCTCTCTGTTCTCTCTGTTCTCTCTGCTCTCTCTGTCTCCTGCTCTCTCTGCTCTCTCTGCTCTCTCTGCTCTCTCTGTTCTCTCTGCTCTCTCTGTTCTCTCTGTTCTCTCTGCTCTCTCTGTTCTCTCTGCTCTCTCTGCTCTCTCTGCTCTCTCTGCTCTCTCTGTTCTCTCTGCTCTCTCTGTTCTCTCTGTTCTCTCTGTTCTCTCTGTTCTCTCTGTTCTCTCTGCTCTCTCTGCTCTCTCTGCTCTCTCGGCTCTCCGCAGGATCCAACCGGACAGGCTTCCTCAGCGCACTCAAAGACAGCCCTGCCAGATATCCTTTCACTGGGGCAGAGTGTGTCTGTGTGTCTGTCTGCCTGTGTGTGATAAGTGTCCTCATCTCTCTGAATGGCAGATGACACTGTCCTCATCTCTCTGAATGGCAGATGCCACTGTCCTCATCTCTCTGAATGACAGATGACACTGTCCTCATCTCCCTCTTTCCAACTGTGGTTTTTGACAAAGCGGCCTAGCGGTTAAGAGCGTTGGGCCAGTAACCGAAAGGTCGCTGGGTCAAATCCCCGAGCCGACTAGGTGAACATTTTGTTTATGTGCCCTTTAGCAAGGCATTTAACCCTAATTGCTCCTGTAAGTCATTCTGGAGAAGAGTGTCTGCTAAATGACTCAAATGTTAAAGACACTTTCATCTCTGTCACACGAAACCGCCACATGTGCGATTTTGACAACTACGTCTTCCCGCTAATTGCATTATGGAACGAAGATTTGCCCGTAGCTTACTGCCTTGTGCACATTGCACTGTATGTATCCACTTTGCCTGGAGTCATTCAGGACATTCTGGAGGACACAGCAGTTATTTAATGGAGCCGTACCACATGTAGAGTGCATTGCCTAGTAAATCAGTGGCCCAACACCATCTTCTGGTAGTCAATACCACTATGTCCCACTCTGTGCGTTTCTAAGGTCAAATGCAAGAACTCTCCACCTCTCAGCCACCGTGACGATGTGCTAGTTGTTGTAGTGATGGTGGTCTCTTTTCCTTGACTGAATTACTGTGCTAGAGGTGGTGGTGTGTTTCTTCTCAGTATGGTCCATCTTGGGCCTGTCGGGTTTCCATACCTACCTCATTAGCTCCAATCAGACCACCAACGAGGACGTGAGTACACATACACCACATCTCATCATCCAGCCCCCCTGGAGCTCAGTTGGTAGAGCATGGCGCTTGCAACGCCAGGGTTGTGGGTTCGTTTCCCACGGGGGGCCAGTATGAAAATGTATGCACTCACTAACTGTAAGTCGCTCTGGATAAGAGCGTCTGCTAAAATGATTTTAAAAAATTAAAAAATTGTCTGACTTTGACTGCTGATATAAATTCTGTCTCATTAAGGCTAATTTCACGCTTGGTCCTCCATGTAATAACTCGCTGGCTTGATTATTTTTTTTCACTTGCGCTGCTGAGGTTCTGGTAGATTGAACACTCCAGCATCCTCCCTCATCCTTCTTAACTGTCTCTCTGGTGTGATTTGTTGAGTTCCACTGTTCTCCAGAAGTTGCTGAATTTCCTCTTGACTTCAGTTTGCTCCTCAATTGATGCACCTTGGTTGGAGAGCGAAGTAGCGGCAGTGATCCCTTCCCTTTGCACTGATTGGTCATGTTCCCCCTCCAGATTAAAGGCTCATGGTCGACCAAACGGGCGAAGGACAACTACAACCCCTACAGCTACGGGAACATCCTGACCAACTGCTGTGCTGCCCTCTGTGGTCCTCTTCCACCCAGGTGAGTCTCTGTGGCCAAACTAACCCTAACCCTAACAGCAAGGCTGGTCGTGTTCAGTAGGGAGAAAATGATTTGAAACAGGGAGGTACTTCCTGAAACTTGTCCAATGAGAACACAGACTTTTGTATGCAGTCACGGCGATAGCTCAACTGTAGATCGAAAGGATTTTAGATTCAGCTCTCCCTCCTCCCCATCCTCCTCCCTTATCTCATCACTCTTCCAGCCTCCCCTCCTCTACTCTCTCTACTTCCCCTCTCCCTCCCTCCCTCCCTCTCTCCCGATCCGAGGACCCTCCCCGCCCTCCTCCCTCCGCCCGCCTCACGCCCGCTCCTCCCCCCTCCAGCTCGCCCGGTCTCGCCCCATCCTCCTCCTCCTCCTCCCCTCCTCCCTCCTCCTCCCTCCTCCTCCCCTCCATCTCTCTCCCTCCTCCCTCCTCCTCCTCCCCATCTCTCTCCTCCCTCCATCTTCCTCCTCCTCCCCCCCCATCATGCCCTCTATCTCTCTCCTCCCCTCCATCTTTCCCTCCTCCTCTTCTCTCCCCTTCCTCCTCCCCTCCACCAGACATGCCACCAGGGGTCTTTTCACAGTCCCCAAATACAGAACAAATTCCAGAAAGCGTACAGTATTATATAGAGCCATTTTTGCATGGACTCCCTTCCATCTCATATTGCTCAAATGAACAGCAAACCTGGTTTCAAAAAACAGATAAAGCAACATCTCACGGCACAACGCCTCTCCCCTATTTGTATGTATTGATATGTAGGCTATGTGTGCAATTTTTTAATTGATGTAGTTCTGTCCTTGAGATGTTCTTGTCTATTAATGTTCTGTATTATGTCATGTTATGTGTGAACCCCAGGAAGAGTAGCTGCTGCTTTTGCAACAGCTAATGCGGATCCTAATAAAATAAAATACAAAATAATTAAGAATATCCATCTCTCTCCCTCCTCCTCCCCTCCTCTTCTCTGCCTCCTCCTCCCCTCCATCTCTCTCCCTTACTGCATTAGTCAGCACCCACAGAATGAGCTCTGCTTATGTGAATCAAACTGCCAGCCACTTTGTTAAATGAGCAACGCTTTCAATCAAGATATCCATCAGCGCACGCAGGCAGGAATAATCACTGTACACTGTTTCTGGAACTAGCCTTGTCTTACACATTATTAGGATGAGCTCAGTACATTGTCTACGCCCCAAATGGCCACCTGTTCCCTATGTAGTGCACTACTTTTGACCAGGGCTAATATGGCTCTGGTCAAAAGTAGTGCACTATATAGGGAATAGGGTGCCATTTGGGGCACAACCATCGTAAACGTCCCCACAGCATATGGTTGGTTATTGCATTTAACGCAAATGGTCTGGCTGTAGAAGATAATGTCTTTCACCCAGTCATTTGCTCTCTCCCCAGTGACACCACAGTACCAAAACTATGGAGTTACATTAGTGTTGATTTTAGGGTCAATTTTAATTTTGACCCTAAATTATTTTGTCCATACACTACCCGCAGATACAAAATCAAGTCAGTTTGTCAAACATCTGGTGGAGTAACAATTATCATTGATTCATTAGCTGGTCTATCACATGAATGGGTTACAGCTGGCTTGACAATAGTGGAATAGTTGAGGTATGTGTAATAATAGTTGAGGTATGTGTATGGTTTGCTCAGTAGGTAGGTACTGTACATTGGGTTGGATCTTCTGGGAATTTCACATATCATTAACAAGTTTCCTGTTGCCTGGGGAGAATGTGTGGGGGATTGTTCTCCGTTCGTAGACAGGTGGCTGCCATCTGCTCTGTGTGTGGGTATGCATGGAGAGATGGGGCCTGGAGGCTTCACACACATGCAGGAACGCTTGCACCAAGGCAGACACACACACCTTGCAGATACACACACACACACACCGAAGTACACGCACACAAACACTCTTGCAGTTACACACATGCACACCAAAGCAGACTCTCTCTCTCTCTTTCTCTCTCACCTCACACAGATACACACACACACACACAGAGATGGAGAAACAGACTCACACATAAACACCTAAGTATACACAGACACACATTTCAAGACCTCTGCTTATGTGCCAAGTCTTCTATTTCTAGTCTTATTGACAGAAGAGGCTTCATCCAGCCAGACACACCCCAGCCTGTGTTACACTCCAACGGGAGCAGCATGTACACCTCCACCCAGCTTCACACTCACATGGTAGGTAGTGTGTGTGTGTGTGTGTAGAATAGGGAGAGGGGGTGTGTTCGGGAGAATGAGAAAGAGGGCACTTTCTTAATGCATTAGAGATGTTTAGTGTTTCACAGGACTGAGTTGGCACTTCAGTATTTATAACCACCGAGAAACACTTTGAAAGTTATTTCAAAGCGTACTCCCCTTATGATGTCCGCAACTCACTCAAGTGCTCTCACTTACAAATGGCTCTTTGAACCAGCCTGTGTTATTATTACGACCAACAGAGAGCAGTCATCTGTCTCTATTCATATCATTATTGGGCTCTGAACCTCTTTCTCCTCTCTCGCACTCTCTCTTTTATTTTCTCTCTCGCTCTCTCTTTTCTCTCCCTTTTCTCTCTCTCGCTCTCTTTCTTTCCTACTCTCTCTCTCCCTGCTGGTGGCCACAGTGGGCTTTACCCTGTGATCCAGAGAGCAGTATTTAATAGTGAATGAACACAGCTCATGTGTTTTGTGTTCATTGATTCATCGGGATGTAACTTCTCACGTCTCACTCTGAGGCAATCTTATCACCCCCTCTGAATATATCCATGTTTTAATTCACCAGTCGGTACTCTGCTGAATACTGATGTGTATTTTCCCCCCACAGTCTGTGGATCCTCTCCCTGCAGTAGTTTCAAATAGTCATTTTATATCTCAAGCAGAATAATCATAGTCTTCTGGCTGGTTCCATATTTGCATACAGCCTTGTTTGAAGCGGGCAGCTGTGAGAACAAGTAACTTTGGCCATACGCCCGTGCAGAGATTATGAAAATGTTCCAAAATAAAAAAGGAAGCAATTTTGGGCAATCTCAAAATGTGTTGAGTAATTCAATTGAATGGAAATGACATGGTAATACCACCTGTTAGAGTTGAAGTAGTGAGTTGAATGAGGTATTGAGTTGATTATACATGCTAATGTATTCGTAGTAATGGCATGTTTTATGGAAGACTTGTTTTAATGGGTTCACTAACATTCTTTTTCTTCCTTTTTTGTCTGTTAACCTTTTTATTTGTGTGTTTCCCGTCCCTCTATAATTTCCTTCCTTTATTTCCCGTCTCTCTATAATTTCCCTCCTTTATTTCCCGTCCCTCTATAATTTCCCTCCTGTATTCCCTGTCCCTCCTATGGTAAAACATATAATTCTCCTACTGTTTTTTCCCCTTCTCTTCCTTTCATCTCCTGTCACTTTCCCTGTCTCCTCAGTGTGACCAAGAGCACTGCATTCAGAGCACCAAACTCGTTTTGCAGGCTGCCGCCACCCCCCTTCTCCACAGCGACCCTGTCATGATGGGCGGAGGGGGACCCCCTCTCCCTGGGAAGAGTTCCCTGGGGGACCCATGTGCCTCACTGGCCCCTAGCCAGCCTTCCCTGCCCTCCTCCATGCCCGGCCTGGGCTGTGCGGGGGACATGTTGATACTGAGGGACCCGGACACCCACTGCCACCACCATCACTTTGTCAGCCCTGAGGAGACGCCCTCGCCCGGCCCCATGCCTCTGACACTGCCCTGCGCCGCCCACATGACCCACGGGGGACACATTAACCCTGCCCAGCTCTACGGCCCTGCCAGCCAGGACTCTCTGCATGAGGACTCTGTCAGGGGCCTGGTCAAACTCAGCTCTGTCTGAGACTCAACCCCACTGCCATCTCCGCCTGGCTCTTTAGAACCACTACCCAGACTCTGTCAGCGTGCCAAATGACACCCTATTCAATAAGTAGCACTACTTAGTATTGCACTTATATACAGGACACAGCCCCAGCCCCCTCCCTCCACACTGCTGGCTCAGGACCAAAGCCATAATTCCTGTTCCCCTAACATTCCACCCCAGCCCTACCTCCCTCCCTCCTTCCCATCCAGATTTGTGCCCCCACCTGTTGAGATAAGCTATTCTAGTGCCAAACAGACAGAGCCTCAGTCTCCACTGCACTTGACCAGGACCAAAGTCAAGCTTCTGACTCCCACTTCTTCTTCACAGTAGTATAGCTAGTGCCCTACCAGGAGTCTACCAGGCCTGGATGCAGGTCCAGGCTTCTGCCAAAGGCTCATGACTTGTGCTCTTTTGGGGGAAACCATCTACCCGGACCAGGCTGTCATTGTCCGTAAATGAAACTGACTCGCTCTCCTCTCATCAGCCAAACCTCCATACCAAGGCAGTTGCCATTTTGGTTTGCTGACATCCAAGGACACGCACAGCAGGACACTTCTCTGGTTCTCAAGGTCTGTTGGAAAGACATGAATCAGGACCAAATATAGGACTTGTTTATAGTTTGATATGTGTGTCCCGAGTCAGGTAACACTCTTTTATACAATAGTAATGGAAACAGCCAATCAGTGTTGGCCCTGGACACAGAAGATGTCACTTCCTGTTTCAGATTGTGTCAATGCTGTACTTGGTGATCGGTAGTGTTCATCAGTCCGTCCCGGTGTCGGTGTGACGCTAGCCGCATTACATTTTTGTTTTGTTCAAATGTGATGCCAAAACATCATGGATGCATTCCAAATAGCACCCTCTCTATTTAGTGCACTACTTTTGACCAGGGCCTAAAGGACTCTGGCAAAAGTAGTACACTATATAGGGAATAGGGTGCCATTTGGGATGTAGATAATAAGTAATGTGATGATTGTACCAAGAAATTCTCATTGACTTATTTTTAATGAATAAATGCACATATTTTTATGTACAAGAGTGGATTTAATTCATTCAACCAGCCTGTGCAGACACTTGCCAGAAATACAAAACCCAATACCCTTTTCCATAGCCGCGGGAAGACATTTTTTTTCTTCACAAATGTAGTGCACTGGGCCTTTAATAGTCCTGTATTAGTGGACCGATATAGCTGACTGCAGCGCAGGCAAAGATCCCAGCACCCCCAAAACTACTTCCCGCGGCTACGCCCTTTTCAGTGAATACCCTTTGCAAACAGAAATTAGCTGCTAGCTAAATCTGGTACAACACATATTTTCTCAAGTGTATGCGACTAATGTTTTTGTTGTACTTTGTCCCTGCTCAATAAACTCAATTAATAAGCAACTGTTGACATAATGCCAGTAGATTTAACAAAAAAAATCAGGTTTTCCAGATGTCCCAATTGGAAGATTCCCAGAATCAGGAGGGAATATGAAGGAAATCCAGAATCCTCCAACCAGGATTTCTAGAAAACCTGAGAATTTAGGGAAAGTTACCGGCATTTTGCAACTCTATTAAATCTGATCTGCTTTAGCTGACATCTGCATAGCGGTTGTTTTGGCGGTGTCGGAGGTGGAATTTCGTGACAATGATCACAAAAGCAGCTGCTCACTGATTTGACGCCTCCAACCAATGATGTATACAAACCCTGGATTGCTGATGCTATGTATTGGTCATTGAGAGGCTTTGAAGCCACCGGTCGGCTATATTGGCAGTCCCCAGTAGGAGCAGTCCTCCATAGGAATTAATGGAATTCTACAGTATTTCAATTAAATGTTTCAAGGACAAAATTACATGTATTTCAATATTTGTGTTGTTGTAGTGGGGACAGTAACATTGGTCATCTCTAAAAAATTATACTTTAATGGAAATGTTTTTATATATACAGTACCAGTCAAAAGTTTGGACACACCTACTCATTCCAGGGTTTTTCTTTATTTTTACAATTTTCTGCATTGTAGAATAATAGTGAAGACATCAAAACTATGAAATAACACATATGGAATCATGTAGTAACCAAAAAAGTGTTAAACAAATCAAAATATATTTTATATTTGAGATTCTTCAAATAGCCACCCTTTGCCTTGATGACAGCTTTTCACACTCTTGGCATTCTCATATGTTGAGCACTTGTTTGCTGCTTTTCCTTCACTCTGCCGTCCGACTCATCCCAATCCATCTCAATTTGGTTGAGGTCGGGGGATTGTGGAGGCCAGGTCATCTGATGCAGCGCTCCATCAGTCTCCTTCTTGGTAAAATAGCCCTTACACAGCCTGGAGGTGTGTTGGGTCATTGTCCTGTTAAAAAACTAATGATAGTCCCACTAAGACCAAACCAGATGGGATGGCGTATCGCTGCAGAATGCTGTGGTAGCCATGCTGGTTAAGTGTGCCTTGAATTCTAAATATGAGTAAATCACAGACAGTGTCACCAGCAAAGCACCAGCCACACCATAACACCTCCTCCGCCAAGCTTTACGGTGGGAACTACACATGCGGAGATCATCCGTTCACCTACACCGCGTCTCACAAAGACACGGCGGAACCAAAAATCTCCAATTTGGACTCAAGACCAAAGGACAAATTTCCACCGGTCTAATGTCCATTGCTCGTGTTTCTTGGCCCAAGCAGGTCTCTTATTATTAATGGTGTCCTTTAATAGTGGTTTCTTTGCAGGAATTTGACCATGAAGGCCTGATTCACACAGTCCCCTCTGAACAGTTGATGTTGAGATGTGTCTGTGACTTGAACTCTGTGAAGCATTTATTTGGGCTGCAATTGCTGATGCTGGTAACTCTAATGAACTTATCCTCCGCAGCAGAGGTAACTCTGGGTCTTCCATTCCTGTGGCGGTCCTCATGAGAGCCAGTTTCATCATAGCGCTTGATGGTTTTTGCGACTGCACTTGAAGAAACTTTCAAAGTTCTTGACATTTTCCGTATTGACTGACCTTCATGTCTTAAAGTAAGGATGGACTGTCATTTCTCTTTGCTTATTTGAGCTGTTCTTGCCATAATATGGACTTGATCTTTTACCAAATAGGGCTATCTTCTACCTTGTCACAACACAACTGATTGGCTCAAACGCATTAAGAAGGAAAGAAATTCCACAAATTCACTTTTAACAAGGCACACCTGTTAATTGAAATGCATTCCAGGTGACTACCTAATGAAGCTGGTTGAGAGAATGCCAAGAGTGTGCAAAGCTGTCATCAAGGCAAATGGTGGCTATTTGAAGAATCTCAATTTGTTTAACACTTTTCTGGTTTTTACATGATTCCATATGTGTTATTTCATAGTTTTGATGTCTTCACTATTACTCTACAATGTAAAAAATTGTACAAATAAAGAAAAATCCTTGAATGAGTAGGTGTGTCCAAACTTTTGACTGGTAGTGTATATATATTTTTGTTAATGTTTAGCTCACATAATATAATTTAAAAGTATGCATTAAGGTGTCTGTAACAGAATAAATGTGGCAAAAACTAGTGTAGACATGAATAAATGCATTTCTACAGCTTCCAAAATATTTGTTACAATGGTGAGGGAGTCTCAAGATGGAGGCACGGTGTCTTCAACACGTTGTCCCCTATAAGTCATCTATTGCTTTGTAAAAGTATTAATCCCCCTTGCCATTTTTCCTATTTTGTTGCATTACAACCTGTAATTTAAATTGGATTTTTATTTAGATTTCATGTAATGGACATACAGTGAGGGGGAAAAAGTATTTCATCCCCTGCTGATTTTGTATGTTTGCCCACTGACAAAGACATGATCAGTCTATAATTTTAATGGTAGGTTTATTTGAACAGTGAGAGACAGAATAACAACAACAAAAATCTGGAAAACGAATGTCAAAAATGTTATTAATTGATTTGCATTTTAATGAGGGAAATAAGTATTTATTTTTGTTGTTATTCTGTCTCTCACTGTTCAAATAAACCTACCATTAAAATTATAGACTGATCATTTCTTTGTCAGTGGGCAAACGTACAAAATCAGCAGGGGATCAAATACTTTTTTCCCTTACTGTACATAAAATAGTCCAAATTGGTGAAGTGAAATTAAAAAAAGAACTTGTTATGAAGCCCCTAAATAAGATCTGGTGCAACCAATTACCTTCAGAAGTCACATAATTAGTTAAATAAAGTCCACCTGTGTGCAATCTAAGTGTCACATGATCTCAGTATATATACAGTTGAAGTCGGAAGTTTACATACACCTTAGCCAAATACGTTTAAACTCAGTTTTTCACAATTCCTGACATTTAATCCTAGTAAAAGTTCCCTGTCTTAGGTCAGTTAGGATCACCACTTTATTTTAAAATGTGAAATGTCAGAATAATAGTAGAGAGTGATTTATTTCAGCTTTTATTTATTTCATCACATTCCCAGTGGGTCAGAAGTTTACATACACTCAATTAGTATTTGGTAGCATTGCCTTTAAATTGTTTAACTTGGGTCAAACGTTTCGGTTAGCCTTCCACAAGCTTCCCACAATAAGTTGGGTGAATTTTGGCCCATTCCTCCTGACAGAGCTGGTGTAACTGAGTCATGTTTGTAGGCCTCCTTGCTCGCACACGCTTTTTCAGTTCTGCCCACAAATGTTCTATTGGATTGAGGTCAGGGCTTTGTGATGGCCACTCCAATACCTTGACTTTGTTGTCCTTAAGCCATTTTGCCACAACTTTGGAAGTATGCTTGGGGTCATTGTCCATTTGGAAGACCCATTTGCGACCAAGCTTTAACTTCCTGACTGATGTCTTGATGTTGCTTCAATATATCCACATAATTTTCCTTCCTCATGATACAATCTATTTTGTGAAGTGCACCAGTCCCTCCTGCAGCAAAGCACCCCCACAACATGATGCTGCCACCCCTGTGCTTCACGGTTGGGATGGTGTTCTTCGACTTGCAAGCAACCCCCTTTTTCCTCC